AACACAACGTAATTTTTGAACTTTTTTTTGAATTTCTACAACACGCGTTAAAGTGTCGGGAAGTGTCAGAGTGTCAGAGAGTGTCGGACACGACACGTCGAAATTTTTGAAGTGTTCGGTGCTTCATAGATTGTAATATACTTGATTAACATAGTAAAAGTTTGGATCATTATATTAAACTTAACAGTCTTTCATAATTTCTATAGTAATAAATATTTTGAACTGGAATAAGTATAATGCCAATTCTTAAACATATTTTTTTTTCCTTTTTCATGTGTTCGTTACCTTTTATTCTATGTGATTGTTCACATTAGAATTAGAAGTATTTGCCATCCAAGGAAGGAACATTGGGATCTGTTATACAAGCGAGTCAGGGTTCCAATCATCCATGCACCATTTTCAATAAGAAAAAGATACGTATCTCTTGTCATTGAACAAATCCGCACATCATTGTTCCCCATGTCTCTTTGGTGACTCTTATAAAATAATTCCCTTCACAAAACGTAATGCATAATGATGTTATGGGCTTGTGAAAGCGTTGTTCCAGATTAGTACGGATACGTTCATGTATTTTACTCTTTGCGACTAAGGAAGCTCCTAGCTAGGGTAGGTTTGGACGTTTCGTGAATTTTGATAATATTTGGAAGGAAAAAGTGTGTGTCGTTTTAAAGGAGGTAAAGTTGTATTATTTTAAGAGAGAGAAAGAGATAGATAAAGGAGAAGAAAGTGAATAAAAAAATAAAGGTGTGGATCTCACTTCTTTATGAGAGTGAAAAGATATAAGTTGTGTCATTTAAGATGATAAACTCTTTTCCCTATTAGGAATTGACTTTTGTTGGTTTTAAGTGTTAACTTAATCCAACCTAATTTCCTCATCATTTAGGTTAGATCAAATTTAAATTTAATATACATATTGAAAAAAAATAAATTCCTTTGCTAAAACTAATGCCGAAATACGAAATTAAAAGCTATTACATGGAAGACGTTTGAATATAAAACTAACATGTTTTTTTGCAAAAACTTAAAAAAGATAACATAATCAGAAATATAAGTCTTAAATAAACCATGTCATTATATAAACATAGAATGTCTTACTAAGTTAGAAATAAACTAAAATTAAGAATTTTCAAAAGTTATAATAATAACCATAGTTATTAAAACCGGACCGACCTGGCCGGGTCGACTCGAGAATCGGTAAACCGGTCATATAAACGGTCCGCTTGAAGCAACGGACCGGTCATGCATCAGAACCGGTACGACCGGGTCAGTTTTCATAAAAATCGGTGACCCGGTCCGGTCTCAAAATAATTCTAAATTTTTTATTTTTTTCAAAATAATCATAATAGTCATATTTGAATATTTTTTTGCTTATTGACTTACATAAGTTATGTACCTACAACACTAATATTATCTTAATTATGTATTATGCATAAAAGTTTGAATTAATTTATAGTTAGAAGTGTCGTTTTATGAACCTAAAGCCTCGTATCACGATCATTATATTTTTGTTTGATTTTTTATTTGATAATAATATGTGATTTATTATTTTTGTATTAAAATATTTGAAACATTTATTAATTTTTTTTAAAATATTTGAGTATGTTTATTATTTTTTAATATAAATTATAAAATTACATATAACTACTGAGTCATACGGTTAAACTAGTAACTCACTGGTTAAATCAGTGACCTGATACCTCGACCGAATCAATCACCCGATCAGTTTTAATATCATTGATAATAACAAATCGTATAAAGTAATTAAAGTTACTGCCATCACGCACAATTATAGAGGTTGATATAATTATTGATTGGAAAAATCTTTTCACTTTTGTTATAGAATTTTTTTTTCTAAAATACTTACATAAAAATAAGTGGATTTTATTATAAAAAAGAGAGATAGAAGATTAGTAGAAGTAGAATCCGCTCAATTTTATATGAGTGTAGCATAGTAAAAACAAAAACATTAAATTCATTATTGATTTCATTTCTAAATTTTTAAGATATTTGTATTTATTTCAGTGATCAATTCGACTTTAATGCTAAATTGCTTCATTTTTAAGATATGTCATTCTCAATTATTTTTTAAATACTTGTTGATATATTCCAAACTCTTTTGACTTCGAACCATAACTCATACTAAGTTATAGAAACAAAAGTACAAGAAAATAAATTTTAATATTTACAAAGATATTGAACTTTAATTTAAAAAATCGGAAGTCATTTTTATTTTCACATCATGCCTCATATTAAGATTACACGTTTGATGCATATTCAGAGTTAGTATAAACAGAACAGCACTAATTGAGTTACTGAACAATTTTTTATTTTGTTAGTAGTTTTATGTGTAATAAAGTTGAAATAATTAAAAAGTAAGAATTATTTTTTAAAAAAAAAATTAATTGGGGTTAGATACCGGTATTCTACTCGGGTCAGAAAAATTTTCCGATCTCTTTGAGAATTTCTGAGAAAGATTACATATCACACCACCAACAACATACTCACATCGACCAACAAGGTTTGAAATCAGGCTTTTTGACCCTTTTATCTTTCATTAATTAATTAATAATCATTTTGTCCTTTATTCGAAATTATCTACCAATCTGTCCCTCTTTAATCAATTAACTTGAAGATTTAATCGATTAAATGGTCAAAACTGGAAAAAATATTAACTTGAAGATTTAATCGATTAAATCTTCAAGTTAATCGATTAAATCTCCCAACAGACAATAAAGGTTAAATCTCCTCCATAAACAAAAGCAGATTCCATGCATATGAAGCAAATCAGCAAGTTAATAACAGTTGATTGTGATTTGTATTTATATGAGCTGATTACGTTTTGTATTTAATAGGAGTTTATTGCGTTTTGTATTTAATAGGAGTTGATTGCGTTTTGTATTTAATAGGAGCTGATTGCGTCTTATTAAGAGTTGTCATTTTATAAGTTGGTTACAGATTGTCACCCAAATATTGGTATGTACATTATTACTCATTTCATTGAAATGTTGCCCATAAATAGGCTTAGAATTACAAATTACAAATAAATTTAAATTGGTGACAATCTGTAACCAACTCGTAAAATAGCAACTCTTAATAAAACGCAATCAGCTCCTATTACATACAAAACACATTCAACTCCTATTAAATACAAAACGCAATCAGCTCCTATTAAATACAAAACGCAACTAATGAATGCTTTCACGCTCATTTGGTATATTTAATCGATTAAATATAACTTTTAATCGATTAAATCAATTAAGAGGGAGATTTAATCGATTAAGATAGATATTTAATCGATTAAATCTTCAAGTCAACTATTTTTGTCAATTTTGACCATTTAATCGATTAAATCTTCAAGTTAATCGATTAAGAATTATTATCTTTTCTCTTTTTATCACCTGCACAAGATATTATAATTTGATTTGAGTAATTACTACAAGAATGGACACTTCATTCTTATCATTTGAAAATTATCAAGCGAAGGATAGTAAGGGATTGCTTGTTAATTACTCTGTTTAATGGTTTTGAGAAGTTGGCCCCTGCACATGGGTGAGAACCTCCAAGTCGTGTTGGTCAGGGAAATTTATAAAAATGTCTTACGTGCATTGTTCACTTCATAGTTTAAATTGCTTGCATGTGAAAGACAAATCATATGCCACTCGCAAATCAAGTTACGTCCATGTACCAGATCCGTATCTGACTTCCCAAGACAGAAAGAACAGATCTTAGACAAATTTGATTATATAAATATAAATATTTCTTTCTTTTTTTTTTGAACAAAAGGATATAAATATTAATATAATTATATATACTCCAAATTACACTCAAAAGCTTTTCTATTAACTAAATATTCAAGAGCTGAATCACTCGCAGGTAGACAAGTAACACAGATAATGAGATTTTTCAATATTTTTACATTATCTCTTTCTTTACCTCTCTTTACCGGTTCAAGTTAAACAGCTTTAAAAAAGTGACTTATGTCATTTCTGTATTTCTTATTTTTGTATAAATAACATTTCTCATATCATGTACTGAAAGGATATTAAAGAATTTATCCTATTATTCACTTGATAGTTGGGAAGGAGATAGAACTTTGGCCTGATATCTGGTTTAAGCCAAACAAACATGGATGAAGCAAGCCCAAACTATTTACAATAAGTGATTATTGAAGTCAAGAATATACTAAAGCTCTTAAATTGGAGTTCACTTGCTTTAAGCTAATGATAAGTGGTGTCGATGAAGGGAAGAATAAATAAAGTATTTTTTTTAAGGGTTAGCTTTTTCAATAGTGATAACTTATCTACATTGAGCTTAAAATGACATTGTTTTGAAGCGTAAATCAATGTATTTTTATAATTATAATTTATTTCAGAGTTATAATAGTCTTTTTTATTAGAATTTTTTATTTTTTCAACCCAAAACGATATCGTTGAATGTAAATAACTTATCTACATTCAGTCATTCATGGTAGAAACATTAAAGTTTTTTTTTTAAATTAAATATATATGAAATAAAAAATTAAAAGTTTTTTTTTTATACAATTATTAAAAGTTTTTTTTATCTCAGTTATTGAGTTGTTTATTTTTATTATTTTTTTTGGAAAACGAGTTGTTTATATTTCACTCTCTTATTCCTTAACCGTTCAACCAAACACCTAAATGGCCCTTTTGTTTTGTTGTTCATTTTTTTGTAGTTTTTTTGCTTGTCCCCATTCATTACGACAATCACCTTTTTTATTTATTTATTTATTTTGGTATATCGATTTTATATTTCAATTTTTTAAGTTGATTACGAGATTAATCCCAAATCAGCATTTAATCACTATTAAAAAATTTCATCCATCTCTTTCATTATTTTTTAAAAATATATTTGATGAAAATTAAATCTAAATTCTCTCTCTACTCTACTCTACTCAACTTGTGTTACCAGTTTAGCTAACACTCGTTTATCACCATTTATTTTCTTTCTAAAGTAGTTGCATTTCACTTGGTACGGCATTGTTGGAGATGAGTCAAAAGGAGGAGCAATATGTAGCCAAACCTGTGGCAACCAACACACAACAATATAATATAATCCTCTCACATAGCCTCACTTCTCTTCTCATCATCGTCATCATCGTTCTCGTTCCTTCATCAAACTCCCTCTTCAATTCCAGTGCCCTTTCTCTCCTTCATTTCCCAATTCAATGAACACCCAAAAGTCAATACTCATTTGAATGCCACGTGTCCCGTGAGATTGTCCATCTTCTTCTTCTTCTTCATCTTCTTCCACCCTCCACCCCAACAAACCCCACCTCTCTCTTTCTCTCTCTCTCAGCTAACGTACTAGAATTTCCTCAAAGTTTCTATACCCCTCTTTATAACTCCCTGTAAAGTTCGAATCTTTAGCAGAAGAAGAACAAGACCCAGAAACCTTTCCCACAATGCCATGACCAATGATTCAGTAGCCAAGCTTCTGTGATCCTTCAACAATGGGGGTTTGCACTTCGAAGCCGCAGAAGCGGAACCCATATGCCCTTCGGGAACCTGAAGGTGACCCATGTGACCCTTCGCAAATCCCGAAAACCCCACTCAGTCCCAACTCCAACAACCACCGCCGGAAAGATGACGTCATCCCCGCCGGGAAGCAGTCTCCGTTCTTCCCGTTCTACAGTCCTAGCCCTGCTCACTTTTTCAAGAAGTCTCCGGCGTCGGCGGCTGCGGAGGGAGGGAGCAGGAGCGCGAGCTCGACGCCGAGGAGGTTTTTCCGGCGCCCTTTCCCTCCGCCTTCTCCGGCCAAGCACATAAAGGCCGTCTTGGCGAGGAGACAGGGGAAGAAAACCACCACGGCGATACCGGAGGAGGGGGAGGAGGAGGCCGGAGGTGCTGCGGATTTGGACAAGAGGTTTGGGTTTTCGAAGGAGTTGAGTAGTAGGTTGGAGGTTGGAGAAGAAGTGGGTAGAGGGCATTTTGGGTATACTTGTTCTGCTAGGTTCAAGAAGGGTGAGCTTAAGGGTCAACAAGTTGCAGTTAAGGTCATCCCAAAAGCAAAGGTTATTTTCTGTTGTATCTTGTATACACACTCATAAGGCATAGAATCATATATGAGTTTGTTGAGATGGTTTGGTGCACATGGCAATACTGCAATAGCTGTGGAATTTCTAGTCATTTGGGTGATTTACTTGTCTGCTAGGCAAAGCTTTAGGTTTTAGGTTGTTTCTTTCCCCCCTTTATATAAAAGGATTCGCTGTTGAAGATTCTTTCAGTAGATAGTTTGGAAATAGTTCAAGTTTTGTGGGAGTATTAGTTTGTCGGTATTTTTGTCGTGAAAATAGAGTAGCACTGTCTATCTTAGCCTAAACCCATTCTAATGGTTAGCTAAATGTTGATTAAACTTTTTGGAATGCTGTGTGTTAAACTTATAGAATATAGTGTTGTTTATGTATTAAACTTGGACTTCTTCATAGCCAATACTCCATACAACTTATATCCCACATTATGTTATTTTATTTTAGTTTCCTTGAATCTAATTAAAATTTTATTCAAGGAACCATATATAAATCACATATGGGATGACAAAGATTAAAATTTTGTTTTCATCTTCACCCCTTTTGTTGCCAGATGACTACAGCAATTGCAATTGAAGATGTGAGAAGGGAGGTGAAAATATTGCGAGCTTTGAATGGACACAGCAATCTGGTACAATTCTATGATGCATTTGAAGACCAAGATAATGTCTACATTGTAATGGAGTAAGTTTGGGGTATTTGTTTCCTTTTCAAATTATATTGTGGTAGTAGTGCAGCTAGTGCTCTGGCATCCAAGTGAAGTTTAATAATATTTTTATTTTTTTTAAATCCAATATTATATTATATACAATATTTTTGGTAATACCGAGATGATCTATTAGGTTTTAAATATTTTGGTTGACTTGAATGCCCATTGCTTATGGGAATTTTTTGCTTTTTCAAATTTTTCATACATTAACTGGATCCTATTGACATTTCAGGTTATGTGAAGGGGGGGAGCTTTTAGATATGATACTATCAAGGTAACTCATAAAACGGCAGCCCTACCTTTTTATTTTTGTAATAACAAAATTGACCTTTGGAATTGCACTTTGCCACTAACTAACTACATGGTTTATTTCTTCTTTAGAGGAGGGAAATACACAGAAGATGATGCAAAGGCTGTCATGGTACAGATACTAAATGTTGTTGCATTTTGTCATCTTCAGGGTGTGGTGCACCGAGATCTTAAGCCAGAGGTGAGCATATTGCTTTACTTTTCTTTTGTATAGAAAAGGCCTCTGAATCTGCTATATTGTCACCGAGTCATCTAATACACTAACTAGGCAGGGAAATTGTTTGCCGAGCATGGATGAGCTAATCATATATAAACGTCTTAATTTTTACACCTCGTCCCAAAATAAAAACCCTCTCTCTCTCTCTCTTCATTATTCATGTGTCACAGGGACATGGTACTGACTTTAGAATGGGGGGTATAAGCCTTGTTTTTTACTTTTACATTTTTGTCGGGCAAGGGTGATAAAATGTTTGATAAATGATGCCGAAAGCACGTAGAAAAGTGATTAAACAGAAAGTAGATTTCATAAAAGAGTAACCCTCCGGTTCTCAATTTTAATTATCAAATTAACAAAATATTCAACTCCTAGAATAAGGGTCATAAGCACCCTTTTATAGACTAATTACAAATTGATTCAAAATTCAAAAATTTAAAATCTTAAAAATAAGAAAACTTCCTAAAATAAATATAACAGTAATTAGATTCTAAAAATAAATAAATAATTACAATTAAATCATTCAAAATACATCCCAAATCTTTAAACTCAAATCACGTCAAATGTGTTGCTTTATTTTTCTTCCCAAACAAATCACAATCACATCTGTTGCTTTATTGGGACTTGGATTCGATTGTAATTTGTTATATTTCAAATCATTGCCTTTCTCAACAATTGGGTTATACTTATTGGGCCACAACTCTAGTCGACTACGAGTTTCTTGAATCAATGTTGGGCCATGTACAATGGGCCAACTGTAAGTGCATCAATAAAGCTTACCAATTTTCTGCAAGGAGTCCCAGCTAGTGAGTCAGCTTGCCTTCAGCTGACCAGAGTTTGGAATTTCTTGATAACCTTTAATTTAGTCTTTCTCTTTCCTTTTAACAATTTCAAATTCATATGAATTATTTGATTTATCATTAGTTGCAGTATATAGGTCAATGTAATCAAAGAGTTTGACCTAACCTCTAGTGTTAGGGTCACTTGGGCTCTGGCTCAAGTTTTAAGCTAGCTTATTCAAAATAGGTGTTAGGATAAAAAAAAAATGTAAATAATAGAAAATAAAATTCCATGAAAAAATTGTTTTGCTAGATAAATCCCTTGTTTGTATTATATAAATAACTAGTATGTTCAAGGTTGAATTATATTATTGGGTACGGATTTCAATTTGGATATCATTGCTTGTTGTCTAACCCTCTTGCATTTTTCTATTCAGAATTTTTTGTATACTTCAAAGGATGAAAGTTCTGAGTTAAAAGCAATAGACTTTGGGTTATCAGATTTTGTCAGACCAGGTTTTTTTCACAAGTCCTTACTTGGTAGTTGGTAGTAGTATCTTTTGCCTCATGAGACTTCAGCAATATTCTTAATTCTTATGTCATGTCTTACAGATGAAAGGCTTAATGACATTGTTGGAAGTGCTTACTATGTCGCCCCTGAAGTTCTCCATAGATCTTACACCACAGAGGCTGATGTGTGGAGTATAGGTGTGATAGCATATATTCTATTATGTGGTAGTCGCCCATTTTGGGCTCGAACAGAGTCTGGTATTTTTCGGGCAGTTTTGAAAGCTGATCCAAGCTTTGATGAAGCTCCCTGGCCATCTTTATCCTTAGAAGCTAAAGATTTTGTCAAACGGCTATTGAATAAGGATCCACGGAAGCGAATATCTGCTGCTCAGGCTCTAAGTGAGTTTTTTTCTTACCTTTTACATCAATGAGGTTCTAGTAAGACATTTTTTAAGCTTCCACAATAATCTTGTGCTTGCAGGTCATCCTTGGATACGGAATTACAATAATGTAAAAGTTCCACTTGATATTTTAATATTTAAGCTCATGAAGACTTATATGAGGTCCTCATCCTTGCGTAAGGCTGCCTTAAGGGTGCGTACATTTATTGCTGAAAGAAAAGTTGAACCATTATTTTTTATGGATGCTTTGCTTCCCCATGGAATAAAATATTTCAACCTCATTCCGAATCTCGTGTTTGAAAAGGATGTATAATGTTCACACCACAAGTATTTTGATTCATTTTAATCCAGTAAACTTGTGGATTTTCTTTAAAAAAATTGGTATCAGAACAAACAGTGGTATATTATTGGTGCTGTGTTGTATATTTCTAATTTTCAGCTATAACAACAAACAAGGGGGAGGTGCAAAATGAACTGATTCTTCATTCTGAGTTATTCTATCCTGTGTCATGCATGTGCATGCTGCAACTGAATTGAAAGTTCTGACACCAATCTATTATTTCCTAGATAAACTAGAATGTACTTCGTACTTAATTACCTTTAATTGTATTAGTTAATTTATATTCATCTCTTTGGCAGGCCTTGTCAAAGACATTGACTGCTGATGAACTATATTATCTGAGGGAGCAATTTGCACTGTTGGAACCAAGCAAAAATGGCAGCATATCCTTAGATAACATTAGCAAGGTTGGTTATCACATTGACATGTAAGAAATTTATTGTTTTGTTGGATTCGATAAGTTTTTCTCATTCATAATTTCTGGGCAGGCCTTGATGAAACGTGCAACAGATGCCATGAAAGAGTCTCGCATCCCTGACCTTCTTACCTCGGTAATACCTTGTTCTGTGTATGTAGACTCCCCTTGATTTGGCTGGTTACTGTCTCATATTCCATCTATCAAATTTCCCTTTTTATGACAGCTGAATTCATTACAATATAGAAGGATGGATTTTGAAGAATTTTGTGCAGCTGCATTAAGTGTACATCAACTTGAAGCTCTTGATCGTTGGGAGCAACATGCTCGCTGTGCATATGAACTTTTCGAGAAAGATGGAAACAGGGCTATTGTCATTGAAGAACTTGCTTCAGTAAGTTAAAAACAAATCATAGCAATTTTTCTTACTCAATGACACGATAACAATTATTTCCTTTGGAATTGAGATAGATTCTTTTTTTTTTTTTTGCGCGTGTGTAAATGATCTAGGTTTATACTTGTTTTTTAATTTTTTGGGGTTGGGAAAGTAAATTTTGTTAGCACGAAGAGAAAAATATAACTAAAGGAGGATAAGGAATCCTCCATAGCAGGAAAAGTAAAAAGGCAAAAAAACAAAATATCAAATGTCTAGCAAAGCTGGCCAAAATGAAATTGTAATTATTAGTTCATGAGATATGGCTAATCACGATTATATTTCCTCAAAATGTTGTTTTAGGAACTTGGACTTGGTCCTTCTATCCCAGTTCACGTTGTTCTTCATGACTGGATACGCCACACTGATGGGAAGTTAAGCTTTCTTGGGTTTGTCAAATTATTACATGGTGTATCTAGCCGAAGCATTGCAAAGGTTCAATAAAGATGTAAAGCAAAACCTCGTGGATATGCTGAATTTTCTCTGTTATTTGTGGCTCAATCATATTTGAATTTGTATCTAGTGTGCTGCAACTGATGATTGTCTCCTTCATATCTGAAGCTCTTGCAAGCACTGCCCATTAAATTACAGTTTCATAATGAAATGCTACTCAATGATTCTTTTGAAGGCGCTCTAATTGTAAAATAGTCTACAGATATGTGGGTTCAGAATTAAGATATGAATTGTAGAGTTAGAATTAGCTTTGTCTCGATGGGTGGTAATAATTTCCTGTCACTTGTATTGATGAATGCTTTTGTACACACGTTACATTTGTGAGTCTTATAATTTCTACTATTTTTATTGTATTCGTGTATTCTTGCGTTTGTTAATTTTTACCTTTTTTGAATCAATTACTTTTCCTCAGTGACCATGATTTGGTGGTGATTGACGGCAGTGTTAACTTGTTAAGGAACCCAGAAACGATAAGAAATCGCTGAATGATTCTCATTGTGAGGAAAGAAGTACGAAATGTTGCAGCATTATATACATTCCGATACGCTCCTTTACTGAGAGTACTAATCTAGTCAATCGATTATGTCGTTTCTTTCTACTCTTGTTCCATTCCCAATCTTTTGCTCTGATATATTGTATAGGTCGATATATGTTTGCAACCGGAAATGGATTTTATCATGTCCTAGTTTTACATTATCATTTCACATGAAAGATTTCGCAATAAAAATGTGTATCATTTTAAAGAATACAAAATTGCGTTATTTTAAGTGAGAGATAGATTATGAGAGAGAGATTGGGTGAAAAAAGTTTTAAAGATGTGGATTTCTTTATGTGTTGTTTAAAATGACATATTTTTCCCAAGATTTTAATCATTGAATTGTTGTGGATTTATAACTGAATGTTTTTTTCAAAGGATGAAGTATGTTAATATGGAGGTGTTTAAATAGCAGTGGTATGAACCAATATACAAGGAGATTCATCTGTGTGCAATGAAGTAGTAGCTGCAAAGGGGGGAAGGTGTATTTTGTTATAGTAACAAGTAGAGCCGGCAAAACGGGCTCGGCTCGGCGGGCCAACCCGCCCAACCAGTCAAACGGGGCGGGGCGAGCTCATTTTTTGGCGGGTTGATGGCGGGCATAGGCGGGCCAAAGCGGGTCAGTGTAAAATAGGCTCGGGCTGGCGGGTCAACCCGCCAAACAGGGCGGGGCGGGCTGAGTTTTTCAGTCCACTTTCAAAAGCGGGGCGGGACGGGCTGACTCATTTTTTGACGGGTTGATAGCGGGGTGGGGTGGGGCGAGCCGGGCCGCCCACTTTGCCACCTCTAATAACAAGAGATGATCACAGTTTTCCATTTTACCATTCAAACCTTCATAACATATTTTTTTATAAGTATTTTACGGGATGAGACAATATAGTTTAAAAACAAATTGCAGGGGATCTTCATCGCTTGTAATATGATATTGTTTGTAAGGAACGTAATAGATGCAAATCCAAGTTATATATATTCAGAAAACTTCCTACATTTTAAACAATTTCATGACAAACTACTTAGTTTGTTTCTTCGCTCTTACTTTTTTCTTTTCCATCGATGCTCTCAAGCAGTTTGTGTTGTTTCTTTATGTTTTTTTTAACTATCTTTTCCTTGTGGTACTTGTTTGTAGAACACTTTCCACATCTCAAAGAGTACCACGTCTGGTATCTTATTGACCGCAGCAAATCGTAATAATCTGAGAACCATGCAACATCTTCAACCTTTAACTTGTTTGCACAACCAACAAACGCCACTAACTTACATATCAATTCACGTACTCTAGCAATATGCAGCGAGACTGAAGCTAACATCATATGAATCTTTCATTAGAATAGCTTAACGTTCAAGCAGCAGTCTATTGTATTGTAATGCTGCTAATAAAAATTTCATTACGGATACTACAGATAAATTTTTTAAAAATAAGGTTTATTTTATTAAATTAATTTATTTTGTATTTTAAATAACATAATTAAAAACAAAAAGAGAGAAGCAAATTTTCCTAAAGAAAAAAGAATTGTAAATCATTAATCTAAACTGATTAACCTTGAGAAGAGGGGAAGGAAGGGAAACATAAAGGTAAATGGTGAGAGTATGAAGCTCTGCCATTAGAGTTAAACTTGTCTGAAAACAATGTCAGTAGTCCTCTACATCCAGAAACCTTGTATTCTAGTTCTACATCTGCTTCCTAACCACAAGCTCATAAATTATTCAAAATCAAAATATACTGATTGATACACATGTTGGTACACCATGTAAATAAAGCAAGTAACTAACTATCTTGAGGAAAGCTTTTGGTGTAAATCATCAGCGAGAGCTTGCCTCAGGTTTTCCCCAAAGAAATAAAATGATTTCTCGCTATCCAGCACCCTAGGTTGAGGTCCACTCTCATCAGGCTCCTTCCACAGCTCAGGTTCGGGTTCCCTAGCAATCTGACACAAGTTATGCAACACACAACAAGCAACGATCGTTTGTGGGGCATGATGAAGGCCAACATTCAAATCTTGAAGGATTTTCCACCTTCCTTTTAGCAATGAAATCGCTTCCACAACAACCGACCTTCCCTTCATGAGCATTCCATCAAACAGGTTCTGTGCAGGGGTGCCCATTCCACTTGGGGAAAATGGGGTGAGCAAAAACGGCAACAGAGGGTAACACCAATCCCCAACAACGTAAGGACGAACATGGTGACCTCGTACATTCATCACCTTGTCCCAAACAACATCCCCAGATGTGAGGCGATTGTAGACAAGACTATCCCTGAAATGGGTTGCATCGTCGGTGCCACCTGGAGCCTTCACACAAACGTCCCAGAAGATTTTCTTGTGATCGGAGACAACCTGAAGGAGAACAGAGGGGTAACCATAACGGCAACGATAGGTTGCGGGGTTAGGGTTTGGGAGGCTATGGAGCTTGACGGGGCTGGTGTCGATGGCGCCGCACATGTTTGGGAGTGAGGTGAGTTCTTCGAAGGCCTGTGTGGTTTCCACGAGGCGTCGGCGACCGACGGGGATCTTGATGAATTCTGGGTAGAGCTTGGTTGCGAGGAGGCGCGTGACCATGTTGGTTATCTTGGAGACGAGGTAAGGGTCGAGGGAGTAGCGCGCGGCGACGGTTTTGGCGGAGAGGCCGTGGGCGAGGCGGGAGAGTACCATGGCGACGGCGTAATCGGAAGGGAGGGAGAGGTTTGAGACGGCGATGTGGGGTTTGAGTTTGTCGACGACGGTGGTGAAGACTGGGTAGGAGAGGCCGTAGAGGGAGCGCCAGTGCGCGTCGCGGAGGGGGGCTTCGAGGGACCAGATGTGTTCGGTGGTGAGGGCTCGGAAGGCGGAGACGGAGTAGTCGGAGGCGTTGGGTTGTGGTTGAGTTGTGGTGGTTGTGGTGGTGGTGGTGGTGGTGGAGGAGGTGGTGGGGCGGGTGGAGGCGACGTAGGAGAGGACGGAGGCGATGGTGAAGAAGAGGAGTGGGGCTATGGAGGAGGAGTAGAGGAGAGAGGTTGGGGATGTGGCGGAGGAAGGTGAGGCGGAGGCGGAGGCGGTTGTGGAAGAGATTGTGTCGGAGAGGAGAGAGGTGGTGGGGTCTAAAGAATTGTGGAGGTGGAGGAGATTCGATAGCATTACCAGGAACGATTGATCCATTCCGTCACTGTCCTTCAAAACCCTAAAAGGGCTTTTGTTTTGAGAAGTGATGATCTGATATTCTGATCTGATCTGATCTCTCTTGAGTTGCTTCTAACTTCTAAGATCCCTTTTTCTTATCTAATTATGTTATGTTATGTTATGTTAGTGTTATGCCAGTGGAGTTCACTTTTTTCAATAAATAACACCTCCAAAAGCTACATATTGATATTGGTGTTCCTCTAAATTGAAATATCCCAACAATCACCATTCTTCCTTGTGCATTGCATTAACAGAGATAAATAATGGGTCTGAAACAACCCGCTAGCTTATGTGTTTAACTTTTATTATTATATCCGAAAAAAATAAATAATGGATCTGAAACTTGATAGATGCTTTCTTGTTCTTAAATTTGAAGACTTCTTTTAATCTTGTATTTTCTTATATCCTCCACCCTTCTTTTACATTTATTTTTTTATTTATTGAGTTATCCACCTTCTGATTTAAATTTGCTTCTTTGTCTCTATTTTAATTTAGTTTGTTTTGTCGCAGCTCTAAAGCTAATAGGCCCAATTGTTATTTGTGAATCCAAACTATAACTGGGCCTGGGTTGATGGAAACAGGCCCATTAAAAAGCTCTGTTTCTCTAACCCCCTCTCTCTCTCTCTCTCTGATTCGTCAATCATTTGTCTCTGACATTGTATGTTATATTTCAGAGCTCTTTGTTTTGCTTTGCTTTTGGGAGGGTTTTGAAATTTGAAGAGATTTGGTTTTACTTGCTTCCTTCTTCTCACTACACTTCATTCCAAATTCTCGCCGTGTATTCATAACCTCCAATTTCCAACCCTAATTCGCTGCCATGACAGAGGTAAACACTTCGATCACCCCAATTTTATTTTATATAATTTCTATAACTCTTCTAATACATTCTTTTCTTTACTTTTTGCATTCCCGTAAGTAAATTGTGATAATTTTCTTTGCTTGGGCGTTCTGCCCCGTTCATAATCGAAGACCCCACCAAAAAATCCTGTTGAAGGTCTATTATGATATATTAGTTCTGATACCCAAAATCAAAATTTTATATATATATATCCACAATTAGAAGATCACTAAGTATATTCTAAAGGAACTGTGTGCATTCATGTGTTCATGTGATCCCTCATGAGAGTAAGATGCAAAGGTGGATTATTGAGATGCAGCAATTTGTACGATTTTCTTGTATGTGAAAGTTGGACACGTTAATTGTGACTGAGTATTTGGATTTGTTCATTTACTTCTTCTTTTCTTGTTTTCAGTATTGGGTCAGCCAGGGCAACAAATGGTGTGACTTTTGCAAAATTTATATATCAAACAATCCTTCCAGCATCAGAAATCATGAGCTTGGTCAACGTCACAAAGATAATGTTACCAAGAGGCTGGCTACTATGAGAAAAGAGAATGCTGCTAAGGAAAAAGAGCAGAAGGAAACAGCTCACGCCATTGAGCAAATCGAAGCAGTAAGAGTTTTACACTTATTTTATATTATTGATGCTGCCTTCTTCATACTTTTAAAATTATTCTTGATATTCAACATTTGCATTACTAACCCAGATTGAAGGTCTGATGGTTTCCGTTATACATGCAGAAGCTTTATTTCCATGTCCAAGCCTTCTGCCTAATTTTATGGGAAAACTTACTAGTGAACTGAATTTGCATATATGTGTTGTTAATCATATGTGTTGATTAATAACCTAATTTAAAAAACGGAATTGACTTATGAAAAATGCATATTTGATATCAAACTACAATTCACTTATCTAATAAATTTTCTCAACAAAGTAAAATCTGGGTTACTGTAGCCCAAGCCATGTCTGGTACTTTCAATTCTTATCAATATAACATAAATGGAGCAATATCTTAAATAACCTTTAATGAAACCCAACTTTATCACAGTTGTGTTTTTTAATCGAATGTGCAACAATCTGTGAACTGTAATTGTTCCATGTGGTAGCTTGCATGTATTGTATGTAGCTTTTTCTAAAAAAATAATAATAATAATAATCATTTTGTTGTTTCTATTGTTTACTATTACAAGGATCAGGCCTGATTTGTTGTCATTTGACCTTGTCATGAACTAACTCTTATATTATATCTCTAACACACCCCTCATACCAATAGTCCTTTTTCGGAATTGAAGCGTGGAAAATATACAGACCCACCAACTTTGTGCTGAAATTCAACTTTTTATTAGAAGAATAGGGCGGCAAGGATCAAACCCTTGACCACTTGATCTTAAAGGCTCTAATACCACATCATGAACCAATTCTCCCAAAAGCTTGAGCGGTTAGGTGAAGACACGTGAATGGTTTTTATATTAGATGTCTAGCAGACCTATTAATTGAAATACTTTGGTTTTTGTCATTTTGATCTATTAGATTTTTATGTAGCATGAAAGGCATAGATATTAGAGGTAATAATGTAGCAAGGAGAAGAATATGCTGAAAGCTTCAAAATTATTTACTGAAGTAATAAATAGGTCCCATTTGAGAATAGTGTAAGAAGCTTGAAAATAGACTAGGAATGTAATTTGTGAGTTGCTTGAGTGATTTGCAGCCAGCATGCTGCTATTTACATACTTGAAGTAATAATAAATAAAACTTGTGTTGCAAGAATCAATAAATAAGAAGTGAATTATTTCCTAAGACCCTAGAATTTCCAAAGGAAAATAAACTCGTATTATTTCCAATGCTATATTAACTACTGTTATGTTATCATTTCTAACACGAAGTTAATTGCTTTTTTCATTTCCAACAGTTCCTAAAAACTTATATATGTTTATTAGAAAGTCAATGGTGCTGAAGGGATCTCTAATCCCTGTGCATATCGGATGGAGGGACTTTCATGAATAAACATTGGGAATAGCATCGAAGAGAAGGCAGAAAAACAACAGTGTTCAATAACAACCCTAAAGAAATCGATGAATCCTTAAAAGTGTGAGCATTCCTCTTTGATCTACACCCCATATAATTAAGAACACTGCATGCCTCCGTAGTGTTTTACCCTCCTTATTCCTGCCACAAAGCCTATTAAAGTTGTCAAAATGAACTGCTCCAAAGTCAGAGACCGTATGTTTTTCTCCTGAAAAATCAAATAACCTGATAACAGTGGCTGCTGGCCAATGAAAGAATAAATGAGCATAAGTTTCTGATCTAGAGCAACACATAACACATATTATTGGCTTTGATTCAATTAAAAGACTTTACCTCATAAATATATAAATAAGTTGACTGTATTCAAAGATTGGGGATGGAACTAGAAATAGGAATTGCAAGAAAATCACACTTTTGTTGATGCTTAACTTTTGGAAGATGGGAAATATTTGGACATTGCTGGAATACTGTAAATGTGAATGTTATGTACGCACTTACACACAGATGAGGTGTATTGATTTTATCTATTTATTTGTATTCTACCACAGAAAGCACAGCGTAGCTATCAAAAGGATAAGGCAAAGTTTGAGGAAACCAGAGAATCACATGAATTGGATGACCAAGGTTGTAAGTATAAACTTTTGTTTGTTTATTTCTCTTGATAGGGTTCTAATTAATAATTATTTTGCATAGTCTGATACATATTTTTTACATAGGGAATGAATTAGATATAAGACCGGAGTTTTTTTTTTTTTCAAGAAGGGGGATTTACAAACTGGAATTTTTTTTCCACAAAAAAGACTTGGATATCCAATTTTAACACTTAAAAGTGCTCTTTTTTTCATTTTAGTAGATAATATTATGGATGTAAAAGACAGGAAAATATCGAAAACTAAATGATATTCTGGCTTGTCATACTAAATTCATTGAAAGAACAAAATAAGTCTAATAACTTCTAAGTTCAATATTTTTCCCCCTTGAAAAAATTTGGAATTGCTTTTCTCAAACTATTGTTGTTGGGAGTTATTTGTGTTGACACTTGACAGTATAAATATAAATTATTGCTCCTGTTTTGCATAGAAAAAATATCCATGTAGCTTCTTTCACTGGTTCATGGACTCAGGATACATGTGTCAGTGTTAGTATATTTCGTTATTGCTGTATTGATTTCTCATCTCGAAACTGATTTTCGCTGCATGATTTTGGCAGAGTGGGAGTTTGACAGCAGCTCAGGCTATTACTACCATAAAACAAATGGATTTTACTATGATCCAAAGTCGGGATTTTACTATTCTGATGCCATTGGTACGAGCGTTATACTTGTCGTTTTACATGCATTATATAGTAATAATATATTGATAATGGATGGCATATTTACTTAAAGAAATTTCATCAGGCAAGTGGGTGACCCAGGAAGAAGCATATGCCTCACCTCACTTTACGTCAAATACTAGGCACAACGGATCAACTGCGAAAAAGGCCTTGTCAACTTCACAATCGAAATCGGTTGAAAACAAAGCAAATAACTCTCAGAATGGACCTTCACCTGGGCCTGTTGTTACAACGTGTTTGAATCCTGTGAGAAACGTGAAAGCCTCCCCTTCATCTCTTGCTGTCGGTAAGAGAAAGAGACCTGGTGAAAAATCCAAGTTTGTCTCTGAAGAAGAAAAAGCAGCTCTCAAGGCAAGAGAAGCTGCAAGAAAAAGAGTAGAGGAGAGGGAGAAACCCTTGCTTGGGCTTTACAGCAAGCCATATTAAGTGTCGAAAATATACTCTTAACAGCCATATCTTCCCCTAAAAATTGAGGTATATACTTCTTTTTGCCTGATTATTTATGCTGTCTTTAGGTTGATGTTCTAATTCCCCAAGTGTTTTCCATGTGACTGTAACTTGTAAAATGTAACTGCTCCTTTTTATTTTATTTCTTGGCAATACATGCTGATTTTCAGCTTTATTTGTATATGTGTTTTTGGGAAAGGGGGATGAGGAGGAAAAAAGGGAATTAAAAGAGTCTAGCATGTTTGGGCGGGAATGTAGGTGTGTGATCCAAACTAGGGGTTGGGAGAAAACGTGATTTTGCTTTTGTTTCATAGATGATTAGCAATAATTACTCAAATTTTATTTTACTACAAAACTAGCTTTTGGTACATTGGATGTTGGTGCATTGGAATATATGACAGCCACAAATTAATCTTTTCCTTGCTACCTTGGTTATGTGTCTATGTTTAATAGTGCCATATTGGATTTGTATATTTTATTTACATAAAGAATTATTGACTTTCTGTCCATTTGATAACTACGTATTAGAAAGAGATTTTTATGAAAATTAGTTAGATAATAGTAAATCTTGTTGATTGTTTAGGGATTCAAATTATTAAATATAAATTACTTCATTTTAAATTACTTTTAACTAAAATTAATTTTATAAAATCAAAATTATTCAAAATTAAGTTTAAAAGCGTTTATGCGAAACATATTTTTGGTTAACCTTGTTAAAGCATGTTAAAGCCCTGTTATAGAAGTTGATATGATAACCCTTGTATATATATGGATACGGAAGCAATTGAAATTTAAAGTTTATTTTGTATTTCAATTAAATCTTTTGCAAATACAAAATAATACAATTTCATCGTTTCAAATACTTCGTAGTATGAATCCATTTTTTTATCAGTTTTTTTTTTTATTATTTGTGTAAAATTATATGATCTGCGAGAAAGGGAAAAAAGTAATGAGCTACTAATAACGGTCAGAACCTTCATTTCTTTATTTATTATAATTATTCTGGCTACTAATGAGCTTCCTTTCAATGGACTTGTATAACATGGCCTTTTTGGACGAGTTTTTAAGAAAAATATTTTTTATGTCTTACTTATTTTAGAAGTGTGTTTTATAAAATTTAAAGTTATTTAGAATTTAAAAAAAATATTTTGTTTTTGACTTTTATTTTATTTAAAAGCTAAAATTTTTAGGTCTTTGCATTTTTTTGTAACTTCTAAACTTTTTTTAAAGCAGATATCTAAACATATTTAATAATGAAAAGTTTTTTTTTTTTTTTTTTTTTTTTTTTAAAAAAGAAGCTTTTAAAGAAAGAAAAAAAGTATCCAAACGGGTCCATAATCAGGCTTGACATCTACTCAAGTACTTGTCCTTGCTTTGAGAAAATTGTTGGCATCTCGAGTCTCGACGACACAAAAGTCATATACTAAGAATTTTTTATATTTTAATATGATTACTTTACAAGAATCTATGTTAAATTTTTTAGTTTGTATTTGAAAATAATATTTTAAAATTTAATTTAAAAAAGTAAGTATTTAAAATAATATTTTTAAATGCAAATTCAAAAAAATATAACAAATTCTTTCAACCCTAATTCTTTCAAAATAAATCATATCTTTTGTTAAGAGAATTGTCTTCTGCCGATATTCTTACTCAATGTGAAGTTGCAACCAACGATCGTTTGAGTCTAAATCGACCAAGCACTAAATCGTAAATGAGAATGTATCTGTAATATGACTTTGTTATCTAAGATTTGTATTCATTTCTTTTTTTCTTAAATTAAATCTCACCTATTTATTGTTTATAAAAAGAGAAATAGATAGAGTATTTTAGTTAAGGAAATTGACTTAACTGATGACAATTCTACCATTGATGTTCAAATTTTAAAATGGAAAATGTATTTCCTCAAACCAAAGTTTGTATTTCAAAAAGTAAAAAGAAAAATATCCCATTCTTTACTAGTTGAATAAACTTTCTCTGATAAAAAGGAAAATTGAATATAACTTGATGTAAGGAGAAAAAGTCTAAGATGTAAAAAAAATTATATAATTCTAATTAATTAAAATTTAGAGATGTTATTAAACATATAAAAAAAAAAGTAAAACTAATGGATATAAATTGTCGCCGTCCATTAGTGCAGATTAGTAACTATCCACCAAAATGTTCTATCCATTATGCACTTAAATTGGACTCATAAGCACCAAGTTAATATTAGGGCAATTCAATTCATTCGACTTTCATGTTATTGTTATTGGAGAGTCATTTTTTTTCCGCAAACACATCAAAAAGCGTGCCACTTATTTTTATATAATTAAGTGTGGGGCTCACTTTTTATTTCAGTTTCTTTCCTATAAATATTGGGAATGATTTTTCTTATTTTGTATAAGCTAAAATCAATTTTTCTACCCTCACAAAAAGAAGAGAGATGAGAGAGAATAAGAAAAAAGGAAAAAATTTAAAATGAGTCTCCCATAAAATTTGTGTGTATAGAAAAATTGTTTTATCTTATACAACATAAGAAAAACAATCCCCGTAAATATTAGGATCAAATTCTCTGGTACGCCCATTTCTCCCATTTGTATATTCCAACTCAATTTATTATATTAGCTTGATTATCGGAGTCCTTGTAGGCATACCAAATAGCTACTTTCTATAACCTTCAACCATTATACTAGAGAAGACTCAAAAAATACCACCTTAATTTGTCCAAATATCTCGAACAAAACATAAATCATAAAAGCGGTGATTTTGCATAAAATACGTAAGCTCAAATTTAATGATTGAGGGATTTATGTGATAATAAAAGTAGTTGAGTTGGCAGAGCTTCCAAGGGATTGCTTGGTGCAGGGATCAAATTCTGCCTCAAGCAGTTTCTTGGAAAATCTTTGGGGGTCAGAGGATAAGCCAAAAAATCTTCGGTTGGGGATTAGTCTCGTCTTTTCTCCGGTTGCGAAGCTTAGGGCATGGTGCCCGGAGAAGGTTGAACGGGGATACCTCATGTACCAAAAAAAAAAAAAAAAAATTCAAGTGCACAAAAAAGTACTTATAAAGGAAAAATAGTTTAATCATGCCACTATGTGCCCATATTAAATTAAAATAGAAATAAATTAATAAAATTAACATATTCTATATATATATATATATATTCAAAATTTTAACATTTCTTGAATCATTTATCATTTTTAAGATTATCGATTGGATCTAAAACTCCCAAGTCTTACCTTTTTTTTTTTATCTATATTCCAGATAAAACTAGTGATTCTAATTGAATTATCCATTCTAGAACGTGAAAAAAATGTTTTTATTTTTATTTTTTATAAAGTAAAAACCTATATATTGTATTCCTTTAAATACTCCTTTGATTAATGTTTGCATCCACCACAAAAGTAAAAATAAAAAACAAAATAATAAATCATTTGCGTATAAAAAATAATAATGGATCATCAGAGGTATAATTGATTTGATATTTGTTCAACGATAACTTTCTTATATTTAATTTAAAAAGACCTTATTGACCACGTTTGTTTTATTTCCTTTTTTATTGATTTAAATTTTGTTTTAAAACAGATAAATAAATTAAATGAGCATGTGCACTGACTTAGTCATCCTTCATTGAAGTTTAATTTAAAAAGTCAGAGTCTATAATTTCGGCTGATGGTGATGCGTGTCTCCTCTCCCCACACAAATAAATACAAAGTAGTTTACCAAAAAAAAAAAAAAAAAATACAAAGCATGGTACATATTCAAGTTTCCAAAAAAAAGAAGAAGTATGGTACATATACCTACCTTAAAAAAGAGTATTGTACATATGCGGTATGTATACAGAAAGTTATATATACTTCATAACAATAAAAAAAATTACAAAACATAATAAAAAGACCCATAATTTTTGCTGGCAGTGGTTCAAGTTCAATAACCTGAGGCCAATAATTCAGTTGTTTTTTTTTTTTTTTTTTCACAACTGGTAAATACAGATTAAGATAGAATAGCTTTTTGATGCCCTTTTTAACTTTATGCTTTATTGATTTGTTAATTTCTAATGCTACCCACTATGGAAACAGCTATACATTCAATTTGAATTTCAACTCCTGATGCATCTTAATTACTTGAAAAATCTTCAAAAGAGTCAAAGGAATGCAATCAAAGCTAATGAAGTAATCCAATTGTTCAATTTGATAAGGTAATTATATCCCATGGTAAAAAGACTAGTAGTTTTAGTTTCGTCTATGCAGCTAGTTACTTATGAAGTACGGATATCTAAAAAATAAAAATGATGATGAAACTTGTCTGATAAAACACTGATAAGGTAATTGTATTCCTTGGTATTTATGTATATTGTGGATCACTTGCAAAAGAGGTTTAATTTTCAGACATTCTAACTATAAAAAATGTTGTTACCTAGCTAAGCCAGCTGCTACTTGGAGCAGAAAATTTTTAAACTAAAATAACTCAAACAATGAATGCATTTCTAGTAAACGAGCAACATGTATTGGGCTGGTCATTATCTTGCGGCTAAAGATGATGTCAAATTGATTATGATCATGAATTAGTAAATGAATTTTTTTATATACTATCCACCATTCATCTATTATTTAACTAGTCCCATTCAAGTCGAATAGGATCATTATTCCTATAGATAGTGTTTGGTAGAAGATTTATTTTGAGATTGATGAAAAAGTGTAAGTAGATATTGGAAAATACCACGTTTGGTTCAGGTTTTTGAAAAAAATACTAGGCAAATAGGATAGATGGAGAAATGACTTTTGTGTTGATTTTTGGATGAAATTCAATGTTACAGAATACCATTTGAGATGTGGTATTTTGAGATAACTAGAGAAGTGAAAAAACAGGTGCGAAGTTTTTCCCGAACATAGATTTTGCAAATTTAAATAAATTTCTCTGGTAATATTTCGGTCTACCAAATTCACTTTCCAACCATTTCCCTAGTATTTAAAAAATTTCTCCTCAACCAAACGCCCCGTGATAATTTTTCAACTCTATATATTAAATAGGTAATTAAGCACTACATTTTCACTATGGTATTGTTTTTGTACCATTGACAACGACATATTCGGCAAGTAACGTGCCCATAGAATGCATTATGGCCTCTTTTGCTCCTATAATATATGTGTTGTAGTGTAACTCCAAAGAGGTAAAGAATAAAGTAGGCGAGAAAAGGGAGAAGTAGCTAACATTACAGAACTTCATAATCATATGGCGTGTCCTCTACATTTGACAGATGTAGTCTTTACATAAAGAGAGCTTTGCATGCATGGCTTGGCTTGGTTGGTCATCTCACATTTTCTTTTCCTAAAAAGACATTTGCTTTTTCTTTTAATGGATTGCATAACCACATCCACATGTTCATGAATGGATATATAGAAAACTGACCTCTGTCCTTTAATTTTTCTCCCTTCAGATGGAAAATATCTTATGCCCGAATCACTAATTGCAGCATGGTATGGATTTTCAACAGAAGTGTCGGTGTTAGTGTAGTTCATGATTGAATTGGTAAAATGAACTCAGAAGAAATTGTATACATATTTCTATTATGTTCCACCTCTCAAAAGTTCTTAAAATTTGAAGTATGTATGTACTTGGAATTTTAATTCGATTATAAAAGTGAGAGTAACAAGGAGCTATAATTAATTATACCGACAACTTAATATTGGTAGATGCAAGCATATAAATAATTTCAGATCGATTAGTCATTAGTATAGTACAATTAAGCAACTCTTTGTTTATTTTCAGCAGCACCTGGTAGGTCATTTCTAATGTTTTGCGCGCTGTGCCCTGTTTTTGCTAATTTTATTAGTATGTCAAGGGCCATGGCTTCTTAGTGGTCCGGTAATAAAGAGTGTTCAAAAAGAGAATATCAAATAGTCTATTTCCAATTCTTCTCTTTCGTCTATGTATAATAAGCAGAATTATATTTATAAATTTTTTATTTATAAACTAATATAATTTGTAAGAATTTATAAACAAAAAATTTATAAATATAACATAACCCATGTATATCATATGTTCTGTTTTTCTTTTCATATTGGCATAAAAATGATATGAAATTTAAAATTAAAATTAAAATCTCCCAGTTCGTCATCATTTTCAACTCAACTTCCGAATTTTCTCCTCCAATAATTGTACCCTGCCATTCTTATAGGGTATATTCCGAGACAAGCCACATGCTTAGGCCTTAGAGATTTCTAATTCTAATTACAGGTTTGTTGTTAAGTGGTCATCATTGCAGTCTGTAGTGATGAACAAATAATCACAGGTTTAGTATCTTACCCTTTTTTTTTATTTCTTTAATTTGACAGGGTTGCCCAATTCAATTACAAATTTTGCACTGTACAACACCGTTGCCATCATTATTCCATCGCCTAATGATTATTATAGACTAAAGCTTCCTTCTTTAGTATTAAAAAAATAAAATAAATAAAAGCTTCCCTTCTTAAGTCATGCTTATGTTTTTCCACGTTGAGGTTTTCCCCTGGTTCTTTTAGCTAAGCATGTTCTGTTATCATTCTCCATTTATTCCTTTCACTAAGAAAAGCATACTATTACTAAACCAGGATCAACGCATCAACAGTATCTAATATTGAACGTCTCCTTTGGAAACTGATATCTTATACATGAACTAATCAGGGTAATAGTACAAGTTCTTGGCAGTGGAAAACAAAGCTCACTTATGATTCAGAACATAAGTTATGGGACCAAATGATGGTAGCTCTGTTGATGCATGGAAATTGAGTCAGGTAGGGTGAGAATATGTGTTCGATTCTTTATATTACCATCTTTGAGAGAGATTTAAAACTTTAATTCTGACCTGTGCAGAAACTATTAATTATTCATAAAGAGCCTATATAATTATCCCGGAGAAATCCAAAAAAAAAAGAAAAAAACATAAGCCATGGGAAAATGCACTATACTCTCTGGTATCTAGTTTTTGCGGTGCAAACAGTTTAGAATATATGCAGCTTCTCATTAATCAAACTTGTAATTCTGCAAATATGCCAAGTTATAAAATATTGTTGATGTATTTGAGGACAATTACTCAGCTTTAGCTGAGGCTGAATAGACTTTACTTGGAAAGCACTTCTCCTGTCTGAAACTCACCAAAAACAATGTACTAGCTACCAAATATGAAATACCAAAGCAATATACATATAGCCATATATGTGTGAGAAATCTATTATATTACGTTTTGTGTGTAAATGGTACAATTATTTTCAAACAAATTTTAGTCTCTTGTTGATATGGAGACAATAAGAAAATGAGAAGAACATATGTGGCAATATCAAAGCTAATTAACCACAAACACCAAAATGAGAAGGGAAAAAAAAAGTGTATAATCCAAATGAGATATCTGGAAGAATTTAAGAACGTGTCAAAGACCCAATTCCCCTAGAAATGTCATGCATACTATGATTGAAGCCCAAGCACCCTAACAATCCGTGCTTATAAGGCAAGAAAGTCTTCTTCTTCATCTCCTCGGAAGCAGCACGGTTCAGCGTGTAATGCAATTCATGAGCCGAAACCGGTCCTCTCCGTCTTGAAACTGAACCGGAACTTTCGGTGGACCGGAAACTAGAGTTTTTGAGATCATCTTCCGCAGCCTTTTTGGACAGAACCATGTACTTCCTCAAAGGGTCCTTGTCGGTGGCTCTTCCCTCCGAAGCGCTCCTGAACAGTAAAAAATCTCCAAGCCTCCATTTCCGATACCCTTTGATGAACGGAATCGATGACAAGAACGAGGAAGAAGAGGATTTCGGGTTGCTTGTCGACGAAGAAACACCACCTTTGTCGTCGGAATCACACATGATGTCGGACACCCTCAAAGGGGACAAGGACCTGCTTCCTTTCCGACCAGATGACGAAGACGAAAACCTCTCTCTCCCTCGCTTCTGTTGTTGTTGTTGTTGCGGTTGTTCTTCCCTTTTACGAGTTTCTTCCATTGCTGCTTCAAACGGGTCGAAATCTCTCTTCTGATGATGGCGCGGAGAAAATGCCTCCTGAACCATTTTCTTTCCCTGCGAGATTCTCGACCTCGGAGACGACGCGGTGGTCGCCGGAGAAAATGTTCCGTCGCCGGATTGCAACCGGGGCGGTGGCTTCAGGGGGCGGATCTTTCCGCCGTCGAAGAGCTCTTCGGCGGAGAGAGAAGCTCTTTCGAGTTGGGCACCGAAATTGAATTCGAAATCATTACCATTATCATCATCATCGTTGTTGTTGTTGTGGTCAGGTAGAGCATTGGATTTGGGGACACCGGGTTTTTGTTCCCAGTGGAAAGGAACAGAGGAAGATGAAGATGAAGAAGAAGCGAAGTGGTTGAAGAAAGAGGAAACACTACGGTTAGGGCTGGTTGGGGCACTGAAGAAGAAGTTGGCAAAGCGTTGAGGACTTGAAGGAGCAGTCATGTATGGTGAGGAGCAGTTACTATCGAAGTTGAAGTCCACCACCGGAGTAGCCACTCCCACTTCCATCTCCATTCTTCTTTCTCTTTCACTCTGTGTCTGTCTCTGTGAATGGTGCCTTGGGAAAATGGGTGTCGGTTGGAATGTGGTGATGTAATATATAGAGGAAGAAAGATTGAGACTTGGAAAATAGAGAGAGAATGGAAGGAGAGAGGAAAGTGAATAGAGTGGGAAATGTTGACTTTAGTGTTAAACTGGTCCTCTCATGTAGCCGCCTTTGTATGAATACCAACTGTTTTTCTGACATTTATTATTGTTTTCTTTTTCGTATTCTGCATTCTCTCGTACTCCAAATAATGGTGTGAGTTGGTTGATGTGTGATTGATTGAAAATCTACGCTTTAATTTACCACTACTGCTCTTTTTCTTTTTTTTTTCTTTTTAAGGGCTCAACTTCCTTTTGTGATTGATTGTGATATTAAATATCTCGGTTTTAACAGTTTTTTTAGAGTAAACATCATTTTTAGTTCCTGACAATATCTACGAAATTTTTTTTAGTCCTTGGCAATAAAAAAGGATCAAATTGGTCTCTAACAGTATGTAAAAAGGGCCACTTTAGTGACGGAGGAGTTGACATAAGGACTAACGTGACTTTTTTTCATAATTTTAGGGACCAATTTGATCCTTTTTTTATTGTCAGTGACTAAAAAGTATTTCGTAGATATTTTCAGGTACCAAAAAGGGTGTTTACTTTTTTTTTTTAATACAAAGTGTCTTGTGTGAAAGTTACTCAATTCCCTCGTCATTATACCTGTTTTCTTTTCTTATTCATATTAAGGAAACCGTCTAAATATTGAGTTAGCCCCGTTTTCATTACGGGATAAGGTGTGAATCTGTGGCGTACGTAGCTGCAGCAATTGGCTAGTTTTAAATTGTTTTTGGTAATGAGATAATAATGTTTAGAGGAAGTCAATTGTGTCGTTGATTGATAATAATGGCGGTTTGTGTAAACTACGTACTGAGATAATAGTGTTTGGTTTAAATGAGAAAAAAAGTTGTGGCGAGGATCGAGAAGATGTGGGGGGAAAAGAGAGAGAGAGAATTGATTGAGAAGAGAGGACATTTTTATTTATTTTGTTTCAAAAAAAAATGTGAAAAATATAATCTGTCTTAAAATTTAAAAGATATAATATAAAATTATTCAGCTATCTTGTACATAAAATGTGAAATATAAAATGTAATGGAAAAGATTATGGAAAAAAATAATGATTAATATGTTTCTGATTTACAGTCCAGGTCCCTTCATCGAAAATGGTGTTACAATTTGTGTGTTCAAGGGATTGGTTCTACTAGTGGTATGGGAATGTCCCTTATCTCTGTTTCTTTTCGCTCAAAACCCTTGCTCCAAACAAAGCATGAGAGGTTTTAGACAATTCGGTGATTCAAATTTTAAGAAAACTACCGTTAAGATTAAAGAGACGCATGCTCACAAAAGAAGAAAAGGAAGATGCAAGAGAAAGACAAAGATAATGCTTTTGCTTCTATCTCACTTGATATGATAGCAGTTAGGTTACCGTTTTGTGTCTATCTCAGTTTCTCTCTTAAATGTGTTTGTTAAAGTGATCGGTACTTAGATAAGTTTATTTCCTCAGCTTAAATAGAGAACATAAAGTTAAGCAGAAGACATCATAATTTTTACTTTATTTATTCAAACATGAGATCTCTGTTCATATAAATCCATAGTGCCAACAAATAAACTTTTCTTGGAATCCCAATGGAGGTATATATCATGAGACTTTGGTTAGTTTAAACTTTTAAGTGTTCTTCTTTTAAGCAAATATTCCTATTCAGCTAGTGCTAAAAGTTTAGCTTGCACCTAAGCAAATGTATTTGGCTATGTAACTACTTTTATGTGGGGGAGGGGGCTGAAGCAGGGGCAAGCATGGTGGACCAGAGTAATCAATTTTTGTTGAAAATAATAAGATTTTCACGCTTCTGACAGAAAAATGGACTTTTTCTCATTCATCTTGCTGGACCATGGAATCATTTCATTCTCTTTTTAATCACCCTCGTTGCTTGTTCTTGAGAAATTAAGTTATGATTTTGACGTAGTGCATGCGAAGGCACATTGTCCTTTATTGTAAGGAATATAATATGAAGTTATACACTTGAACACAAAATAATGAAATTAAACACGGTACATGAATATCTAATCAAATGTCCAATAGCTATCTCTCTCCTCTGTCCTTTGTTGACAATTGCGTATGAGACATTCATAATTTATGTTCAATAATGAGGCAATACCCATTTCATTTAAAATCTTTAGAGAGACAGGATCCTATGAATATTTTCATCCTAATCCCGGTCTTCTAAGGCGAGTGATCTTGAGAGTAGTTAACTAGTATTTGAGTTTGAACTAAATTAAGTTTTATAATCCCAGTTCAGAACAGGTTGCGTTGCAGCTAACCCATCGCAAATTCTCTCAAAACATATTTCTATCAACTTGTCCACTTGCAAATCCTTGAGGATATACTAATACACAAAATTGAGAATTCTAGATTGTAAGAAAAACCTACATGAGTTTTTTAGACACACAAATATCATGCATGAATACTCTCATTACTTCATATGATTACCCAGGATTTGTTCAATTCATAGCGTACTTATCTGTGCAAGTAATATATTATATATATAAAGAAAAAATATTTATGTAGTTACTGCAGATAAGTTATCTGTATTTATTTGTAAAATAACATCGTTTTGGTATTAAAATTTTAAAAAATTATAAATATAAAGACTATTATAACCCTGAAATAAATTAAAATTACAAAAACACTATAATTTTTGCCCTAAAACGACGTCGTATTAGACTTACTGCAGATAACTTATCTGCAGTAACCGTAGAAAAAGCTAATCTTATATATATATATAGGGTTTATCATCTATCATTTAACATGACCACAAAAATTTTCCTACACACACAACATTTTGTGGGGCCCGCAACAAAAAAAAAAAAAAAACTTCGGCACGCAAAACGAATCTCTATAACATAACACAATCACTTTTCCTTCAACATAACTCTTATAAAACCCATATATATATATATATATATATATATATATATATATATATATATATATATATATATATATAAAATTTAAAGTGTTTTATGAACAAATTCAGAAAAAAATTATGCATTTATATATTGAAAAATAAAAAGAAAAATCATTGTCAAACTTGCCTTCTCTTCAACTAGCAAAGCAAGTTGTAACTGCGGATTATTACATTTAGTCTGCTAATATAGATTTTTTATATCGTTGACTTAGCCTTTATTCGAACCTTCTTTTGCATGATTTCTGTGTCGGGAGCAAGTAAATTTTGATAATATTTTGATCTATCAAATAATATTATTATAACATTTTTGAAAAAATTGACTTTTTCTTCATATTTTTGAAAATTATGATTTACGGACATAAAAAAATTTATCCTTTACTAAGCGCATCCTTTAAAAAGGATTCCTATTTGATTGGTTATAACCCTTTTGCATGGTAGTAGTTAAACGATTCAAATCACAATCTCACGTGGTGAGAATAATTATGGCTCTTCTTTGTCATATTGTTCTTGAGCGATATTGCAGGTTGCAGATTTGATGTCATTAATTAATTAAATAATTGACATGAAACCCATCCCCTTTTGATGCTTATTGACCAGAAATAAAATGAAATAAAATCGTATCAGTTTATCAAATTTGCTTCTGGAAGTATGATTAAATTAGATAGAGTTCTTACTAAACTTGTTATTAGCGGAACATTCAACACCGCCAACAAAATTGTTGGTGTCAAACATATTTTAATATTTAGGGTATGTTTGGTGTGATGTATAAGGCCTGATAGTATAAGCTTATACTATACGTTATGACATTTTCAGTTGTTTGGTGTGACCATCGTATAGTATAAGTTTATGCAGTAGGATCCCTTTATACATCAAAATGATGTATAACTTAATCCGGCCTAGGAGTGGTGGATTAGGCCTGATAAGGGGTTGATGTATTAATATTGCTTACAAGTACAATTTCCAAGAACTAATATATTATTTCAATATTTATATATTAAAATAATTTTTTTTAATATATTATTTTTTAAAATATTGAAGGATATTATCTTATACAATATCATACCAAACGCCGGATAGTATTAAAATTTAATCAGGTCTTATACTATCAGGTCTTATACTATCAAGCATTATCCTATACTATGCACCAAACATGCCCTTAATAATTATGTGTGCATCGCATAAATTATTAATAAACAAATTGAACTTAAATCACATGATTAATGGATGTGTTCATCCAAGACTAGTTTATAGGCTTTTTTACCCTTATAACCCTTTATTATTAATTAATTATCGATTTGACCTTGATTATAAACTATTTCAAAAATTTAACCCCCTCAAAAAACATAACACCAATCTGCCCCTGTTTGACCGTTGACCACCAAGCCTACCCGGGTACACCCCTCTGTACCCGGGTATTTTTTGAAAATTTTTGTCTACCCGGGTAGGGAGGCGTGTACCCGGGTATTGTTCTTCGCACCTGAGAAATTGCTTGAATTATTTACCCGGGTAGAGAGGGGTGTACCCGGGTAAATCTTCAACCACCCGGTATGATTACTCTTTGGATCTCCCATGCACTCTTCTTCTCCAAGCTTTGAATATGGAGGCACCGACTATCACGTGCTCTGCCTCTGCAACTTTTTTGGGTCTGTAAAGCACACAAATATTTTTCAATGATTATTTCAGAAAGAGAATTCTCAGTTAACAGTATAAATCCACAACCACAAACCTTGTCCCATGCATGTCTTCCCTGAACGTGATAATTCGTCATTTACCAGTAAAATGAAAAGCTGCATGCTCACACTAAATTTCTGTACCATGAACCCTGTCTTTATTTTCTTTCTGTCTCACTCTCCCCAATAGACCCGGCACCACATTTATATATAGGAGCGCGATTTTGACGTACATAAAAGTAGACCCCATCATAATCGATACGAACAGGGACCGCTTTGATGAGCAGTAAAGTGTTGATGTATGGAAATTCCAAATCCATTCTCAAAGCTAAAAGCTCTTCAAATTGGTTAGGCATGCTTAACTTGATAATACTGATCTATCTCATTAGCTGTAAAAAAGAGAGAAAAAATACCAAATGGGTGGTCGAAGATTTACCCGGGTACACCCCTCTCTACCCGGGTAAATAATTCAAGCAATTTTTCAGGTACGAAGAACAATACCCGGGTACACGCCTCCCTACCCGGGTAGACAAAAATTTTCAAAAAATACCCGGGTACAGAGGGGTGTACCCGGGTAGGCTTGGTGGTCAACGGTCAAACAGGGGCAGATTAGTGTTATGTTTTCTGAGGGGGTTAAATTTTTGAAATAGTTTATAATCAAGGTCAAATCGGTAATTAATTAATAATAAAGGGTTATAAGGGTCAAAAAGCCCTAGTTTATATGAAACTAGATTTTTGAAAAAAATAAAAAGCTGGATTATCACATCGAAGTCAAAATCAATTTCTAGCCAAAATTTCGAACACCAACAAAAATGTCACTGTCCACCAAGTTTATGTTTGATTGAATTAGATAGAGTTCTTATTAAATTCGGTTTGCTGACGTGTCACATTTATAGTGAATAATAAGTACCAAGTTAAAAAATATATATAAAATTCGCTACATTGGGTAGCGAACTTGGTTAAAATTAAGTTCGCAACCAAGTTCACTACCTGTGTAGCGAACTTGATGTCCACTAAAAATGTGACACGTCAACAAACTGAGTTCACTACATCGGATAATGAACTTGCCCACATGACCGATTGAGAAATAACACTGTTCACGTGACATTTTAAGTAAAAAAACTTAGTGAAGTGTTGCATTTTGATCATTGTTCTCCAAAATTTAGACAACGCCATATGGAAAGGCTGATTAGCCTCTCGAAAATGGCAATCACGAATTTCTTGAATGCCATCAACACCATCAATCACAAGCTTTTGACACATCAATCAGAGTGTGTTCAAAGAAACATTTAATGCTTTGTAATTGCTGTTTGAATTGGTCTAGGCTTTAATTAGAATCTTTTCACATTCCTTAGTATATATTTTTATAAGTCATGTTATTCCTATTCTTAAAGGATGTACCAACTTCCGAGGGGTCACGAGACTCACGACCCGGGTAAGGGACGATTGGAATTATCATATCAAGAGATGTTTCTTTTTTGATTCATTTTATTGAACTTTGAACTGATGAAGATAGATAAACTCTGAACTTATCAAGACTATTTATCTTGTGGTGTTGAGAACAAACTTATCATTCGCAATTTTTCCTTTTCTTAGTGTGGCGTTTACCTCTTTTCTTATAACTTTGGTTTTTTTTTTTTTTTTTTTAAATCCATACCTTTAATTCTTATCTCCAATAGATAATGGGTTAAAGGTTATTTGTTTACTTTTGCAAAGCTAATTCAGAAACAGTCATACACTAATTCCATCAATGGACCTACTGGTGTTGCCAATTGGACCACTTACAAAGTCACAGATCAAGGAGTTTAAGGAAGTCCTGAATGGACTGGTCCAAGAACTATCGAATGATTCTAAAGGCAACCAGTCAAAATTAATTCCTAATCAGAATTCAGTCGACGCTATCTAATGTAACAAAAGTTGAATAGAAAAAACAATAATCACAAAAAAATTTTAAGGGCGTTGAGTAAAAAAAAATTTATGCGTGAGTGCCGGCAAGTGCGGACATTAATATTTTTTTTCAGTTTTTTTTTTTTGGTTGCAGCATGTCTTTATTTGTCTTTTAATTCAATATACATACTAAGAGTAAAAATCCTTTTAAGTTCCTAGTAGAAAATATGGTCTCCATTTTAGTTCTTTACAAAAAAAAATTAGTCTCGAAGTCTCTAAAAAATTTAAAGTAGATCAATTTAGTTAAAATCGTGGTCCCTCATAAATTCAAAAAAGACCTACGTTAGTCCCTCAAAAAGACCAAAATAGATTTATTTTAAATTTCATAGGGACCAGATGACTTATTTTTTTTTACAATGGACTAAAGTGGAGATCGAATTTTTTGTCAAGGACCAAAAAAGATATTTATTCTTATATTAGTTAGCAACGTAGCAACCGTACGGAGATAATTAAAACAACGTAGCAATGCAAATTGATTAGAGAGAAAACTTTTTCTTTCTCCCCTGTCACGTACCAATTCTCATGCTCTCTTCATCCTTTGTTTCCTTTTTCATTTTTATAAAAAGAGAGGATTGATTGCAGGTATGACATTCTCAAATAAGTTAATATCTAGAGACGAAGCCTTCACTGTGATTTTGCTTGCCTTCTGTATAGGTAGTATTGACTTTTTTATTCACCACTAAAAAATAGAATGATGATGTATGGATGTACTAAAATATATTCTCATATTTGTTTTGGAGGATTGGTAAGATTTAGGGAGGAAAATAATTGGTCAAACTATTGTCTGCAGCTTGTTATGGAAACAACTAGATTATGAGCGGATTTAAGCGTTGATTTAAACTCTTTACACACACAAAAATTCGGGGGTAGCCTCGCCACTAAATGTGCTGATATAAAAATATTTTCCGGGGTCCACCACTGTGCGTGAGGATCACGATTATCAAAAATATACTGAAAAAAAAAATTCAAGAATATGACCAAAAAATTGTTTCATAAGCTAAAATATTACCAAAAATATTGACTCAAGTTTCACAATTCTATGTTTGATTGATTGCCTAATATTATTGGAAATATGAGTGATTTTAGAAACTACGTTGCGCTAATGGTGCCATCATCACGCTAGTGGCGCGGTAAGAAAGCACTACTAGCACTAATGGCACAGAAGACAAAATATTTTTCCGCTAATGGTGTCATCATCACGCTAGTGGCGCAGTAAGAAAGCACTACTAGCACTATTGGCACGGAAGACAAAATATTTTTCCACCTCTCGGGAATCTAAGAATACCACTTATAACATTTTGCCTTAAAAAGTGTTCACAAATTAAAATACTGAGAGAATCATATTCCCAAAAAAAAATTCATAATCTTTGTACCAAACATGCGTAAATAAAATTCTCACTTCTCCGAAAATGTTATGAAAAATTTCATAACCTTTGAACCAAACATGCGTAAAAATAATATTTGTACCAAACACCCCCGTCAATGCCATCAATCACGAGTTGATTTTAGTAATTTAATGTCAGATTTTACTACGGTCAAACAAAAATAATGTCTCGAGCCGCAAAATTATTATGTACCAAAGCACAATATGCACCAGCACGACAAAGAAAGAAAATTTAAGAAAATAGGAATAAAAAGAATACGATCGTTATTTTCACCAATATTGCATTTCACTTTCTCTTTCTACTGCTTTGTCAATTTTCGTAATTAATACAATTTTTCAAAAAAATTCGTTGAATCCTATATGCAAATGAAGTATAGATAATCAACCACGTTTTCTTCCGCACGAAGATAGCACTGCTAAAAATTAACAAAACTTATATTCGGCAAAACAACAGTTTTCAAATTGAATTAATTTTCGAAAATTTCAAATCATTATTTAAATTTATTTCGGAATCCTATATTTTCCATGTATTATTAGAAGTCAGTGACAAACTGGGAATTAACCTGATTTACAGATTCAGAATCTATTTGAAGTTTTCGCAAGCTAACACACTGTACTGCTATGATAAGTATTCAAAATAAGCTTGGCTGTCTACTACCAATATGTTTTTAAGGGTTAAAAAACCAAGAATACCCGAGCCATAATATATGGTCAGGTTCAATCCAAAATTTCAGACAACATATTAATACAATCTTAATAACCTCGCATACCATATAAGCCAGCTAGAAATTTCAAAATAATACTACAGTTTACTTAAGAGAGCAATAAAATCCATCCTACTTCAATACTCAGTTCTGCTACGCCCCGTTAGGAAGCTCCTTGAATTGTAGCAGCAGGATGCATAGCTATATCCTGATTCTGTCTCACAGCAAATCCATGGCCTCCATAACCCTGACCAGCATAATGGCTTCCATTGGAATCAGTCCTCCACTGTGAGATCCCAAGGAATTATATTAGTCGATGGATTTCAATAATGGAAAGTGCATTCAAAAGTTTCTTTTTCATTTCCTTTTCTATAGAATTGGGTATCCTTCTGTGTTTGGTTCGGATTTTCGGGAATTAATATATACGGTAATTGATTTTGTAAAAACCGATAAAATATTTCTGCCCGCTTTGGAAAGTGTGAGAATTCATTTTGGGGCCTTCAAAATCTAAATCTAAAGTACAAAGGAATGAAAAAGTGTATATAAGCTATTGACAACTCTTCATAGCAACTATTGAAGGTATGAAACTGGAAAATTTTATAAAATAATAGGACATACAAGTAGAAGAAGCAAGCATAATGGAAGATATATAACAAAAATGATGGACTGTAATGATGCCTATACTCCTTACCATAAAAAATAAATACTAGTTTCACAGATTTAGTTCACAAAAACATCAAACTGGACACGATTGCAAAGAGAATGAGACTCAACAATTTTCCCATTAGATAGCCAAAGGTAAAAATATTAAAAAAGTGAGGTGAACTCACAAAAAAGTAAAGCAAACTCACATGCTTATTTCCTGGACTGCGACCCCAGGAAAGACGCACTGTCTGCTTCCCAATTATTGTCCCATTCAATGCCTGAATTGCTTCCTCAGCATTCTTTCTGTAACAGAGACAGCAGAAGGCATAAAAAATAGGTATTTCACCCAGGCAAAGTTAAGACTGTACTAATGATATTGGCAATAGCAATCACATTCATAAACACTATATGCAATAGTCCTAAGAAACTTGCTTTGATATCCTTATCCTTATACGATTCCAAAATCATTAGAAGTTGGCATAATCAAGAATTCCTTACCCATCTCAGGAATAAATATGCCACTTTTCGTTTCACAGGAAACCACCCACTGCACTAGCGGTGACGGGGGGGTTGAACTAACAGGCAAGTTAAAATCTATATCTATGTTAAGGGATACTGCAACAGTACCTGTCAGCAAATTGAACAAAACCACACCCTTTACCCACGGGAATTTTCACAGAGACAACCTCACCAAATTGCAAAAATGGTTGTCTGAGATCCTCATCACTGATGTCAGAATCAAGTCCTCCAACAAATATCTGTAACAACAATCGGTGACTGAAATATCAAAAGAAGAAAGATGATTAACAGCTGTAAAAAGCTACAGAAGCAGACTCACAGTTGTGTTGTTAAAATCCCCTTCAGACTGGGAACCTTGGGCCACTGCACCATTAGATGAGTGTCCACCAGCCAACACCACAGCTAATTAAAGAAGTGCAAAATCAGATTTTGAATTTTCTAATTAGAAGCATGATATATAATATACTGCATTCCAGTGACAAACTTCTACTATTATATAAATAAACCGAATGCCTGTCAATACATAAAACAATTAACAATAAATATTACTGCCTGGTTATGTATTCAAGCTTCAAAATTGTGAAAAGATACTTATTATTGAAATTTAATAATAACTTCTACAAGGAAACTAAATTAATGGGACTTCCTTTCAGTTGATATGAAAAATCGAGGTATAGCAGCAGAAAAGATAGATGCTAATTTAAGAGGCACCATATAAATAAGAAAACTGAACATTGAGGAAGCATCGTAGTGGTCAAATGTGGGTAGCGGTCAATAGTGGCCGACCCCCGAAAATGCTATAGCAGGTAGTGGGTAGCGCAATAGCAGAATCCTGTGTATGAACTTTTTATATAGATATATATACCACACATATAAATGCTAAAAAATAAACCCAAAACCATAATAAGAATTCTAAATAATGTTGTCAATTAAAAGGATCCAAAATACTGTCAATTACAATTACAAATAATGAGTTAAAAACATCTTCATAAAAAAATAATAATAAAAGACAGCAGTGCAAGTAATTACCAGCTTCAGGGGGGGAAAAAAACATCATAAGAAAATAAAAGACAGGAAGAAAAATTCTCAAATGAAGTTAATGCAAGAGTGAGAAAGTTAATAATATTAATGCAAGAGTGAGTGAGTTAATAATTATAAGGGTGTTTATGGTTAAAAAAACTAAACAGAGTTGAAAACCAAAAATAAATACTAGCGTAACCAAAAACAAGAAAAAAGAACAGAGTTTTAAAAACATAAAGGGAAGTCAGCTGAAAACAATTAATGGGTTACAAAAAAAAAAAAGGATAAGAGAAGTGAAAAGAGTTGAAAGAACAGAGACACAAGAAAGAAGTCAGACGAAAGAATTGACAGTTATCTTCGTTCTCAAATCTTTATTGATGGTTACATTTTAGATGATAGTGACAAATATTATGACAGTTCCTTTTATAGTTATATTTGTGGTAAGGGCAAAAATGGCAGTGAAAGCGAGAGTTCCAGTATAAAAAGTTGCACAAACAACACAAATGATAGTGATTTCACTACAAGAGAAAGTTCTAATGATCTTAATGAAAATAAAAAATACAAGCATTTGTGGATGGAATGTGAAAATTGTTATGGATTAAATTATAAGAAATTGTTTCAATCCAAAATGAATATTTGTGAGCACTGTCGATATCATTTGCCAGATATCATTTGCCATCGAAGGTCGCTGCTTGCTGACAAAGGTCGTCGCTAATTGCCGATTGCAGGTCGCAAACGAGAGAGAGGGAGTCAAGAAGATGAAGGGTAGAAGGGTATAGATATTTTAAGATGAAAACACCCTCAAAATATTACTATAAGGATTTCAAAAGCTGCCCCCTTTCACTGTAGTGGAGCTACTGAGCCACGATTTGCCACAAAATGGCCGCTACCATGAAGAGACGCATTGCATTGCGTGTCCTGCAGCAGCGATAGGCCAATAGGCCGCAACGCGCTACTGTACTGCTATAGCGCGCTATTGATTACTGTGGAAAGCATAATCTAAAAAAATTACTTCACAAGCATGTATATTTAGAAGAATAAATAACAAACCTTGTGAAGAATATTGTGGTTGATAGCCGTAAGTTTTCTTGGGCGTTGCAACACCTATTCGCATAGGCCTACTAGAACAGTAAACCCCATTCATTTCAGACATTGCCCTTGTCCTTTCATTTTCATCACCAAACCTAACAAAACCATAGCCTTTTGAACGGCCAGTATTAGAATCGATGACAACTTTTGCTCCCTTGATGGATGAATATCTGCTAGCAAAAGTCTCTTGCAGCATAGCATCAGTAACATCTATCGCCAAGTCCCCCACAAATATAGAGAGATCAGAACTAGCCTCAGTACTAGTACGCCTTTCACCTGCACTGAATGTTGCCCAATTTAGACGAAATGCCTGATCTGTATTCGGCATCATTGTACCATTGTAGTTCTGCAAGACTTTCTCAGCTGTTGCTCGCGAATAGAACTCCAGAAATCCATATCCCTCCGACTGACCGGTTTGCTTATTCCGTATGACCTTGGCTGATACAACCTGCATATAAGACGACAAAACATCAAAAAAGCCTTGCATGGTAATAATGCAGTAACTTTGAGCCAAGCTCCATTCAAGAAGCTAATGGGAAGCTCACATGCAAAAAAGTTCATGAATTCCCCTAAATGGCAATGGCTAACTGTCAACAATGGATCTTGAACATATGGATCTTTTACAACAAAGAACTAAAAGGATGAGCCAATGTAGCTTTCATTAGACACTTTTCCAGAGGGCAATTAAGAGATATTAAATATATTAGTTAAATGAAAACTTTGGTCAACACTCAACAGGGCAACATCTTCTGCCTTCAGATTAGGGAACCACTTGTGCCAATCAATTAATATAGTCCCCTCAGAGACGCAATGCCAATGATTGAAAGGGGGAAATCATCTTAAACCATTACTTACCACAATCCAAGTCCATTTGGAGAGTCCAACAATCATAAATCAAGTTTAGAGATGGCAGCTTAAGTAACCGACATGAAATGTTCAGGAATGAATCAATCGTGCACAACGGAACTACTAAATCAGCAAATTAAATGCGGAAGTTGGTATCTCAGTAACTTCCAGTTGTAAATCAAGTTTATTTATATAAAAGAGAAACTTAGAAACAAACAATTGCTTGCTTTTAACGGCACAAGAGATGCTGATAATTATGCGAACAATCATCTTATTGAAACCAAACCAAACCAAACCAAAAACGAACAACAAATCTAACAAATTCAATTTCAGCACGTAAGCTATACATCACACACACACATATATACAAGGAGAGAGAAGAAGAAAGAAGGATACCTCTCCTGTGTAAGCGAAGCAGTTATGGAGGTAGCTCTCATCCATCCAATGGTGAAGGTCACCGAGCCAGATCGTCCTGATCTCATCGGGGGAGACTTGCTGCTGCTGGTGCTTCTGCTGGTGGTGGTGGTTGTTGTGGTGGTGGTGCGTCGGCGGCGGCGGCGTAGGGTTCTGCTGCTGCTGCTGCTGCTGCTGGTGAGGCGGCTGGTAATGGTGATGGACATAAGGCATGTAATGCTGAGGGTACATCATCATCTGCTGTTGCATCATGGCCATGGCGGTGGCGGGATACTGCATGGACATCCATTGTTGCTGATACTGATGCGGCTGCGCCCACTGTTGCTGATGGTGCTGGTTAGGCTGCTGATTCAGATCGGCACCGTTGGTTTGTTGAGCCATGCTTAGTTTCTCTCTCTCTCTCTCTCTACTAGTATCTTCTTCCTTTGAAAACACAGTGATGATGAAATCGAAAGCGATGAGCCCAGAGAAGGAGAGGACCTGGCCCAAGCAGGTGCAGACGCCAAGACCAGGCTAAACACACACACACACAGAGAGAGAGAGAGAGAGAAAGAGAAACAAAAAGGGAAGGTTGCAAAATGGTAGGGTTGGTTTTTAAAGGGCAAAAAAAAATACGCAAACACGGTTTAGCCTAACTTAAACACTGCACAAAATGTGTCTTACTTAGGTTTGGGTCTGGATCTGGGGTTAAGTAAGTTAAACCTCGATTGCAACGTCGTTTAACTAAGCCGTCTGGGAACATCTCTTCAGATGTGGGACCCATCACTCTCTATCATTAACAGCTATCGTCAAGTCTCTGCTTCTCCCCCACTTGCTTCCACTCCTCTCTCATTATATATATTACATAATTTATATTCACTACTTCAGTAATTTTCATTTCTTTTTTTCTCTATTCTTTTAAGATAATAATTATCGTTACATTATTTGATAGTTATCATCTTATCAATATCTTTTTCCGTAGTTATCACTATAACGGTCGTATCTAATTCTATAGCTCAACAACATTTTAATAATATTGATTTATAATTAACTAACAAACTAATTATCTATTCGCTGACAATTAATTAGAAATTAATCCTAATTGCTTACAATCATATATCATTTATGCTATTAGCCCCGTGTGCAGATAGATACATTTCAGACTGAATACGGATTTCTTTTTGAATGTATACGTGTTAATAAAAATATAAAGGATACTAAAAAAAAAAAGAGTAATGTTTACAATATTTTTCAGAATAAGGAATTTTGGTACTTAGATAATTTCTTTGAGTCGTAGTAAAATATTAAGCACTCCCTCTTTATCTACCCAAAACAAATAAACTAAACCTTACAAATTCGCAAGTATTCCCATTCACAAGCAAAACACATGTCTATATGTCTACTGAAAAAACAAAACAAAACACATGTACATCCCATACAAGATGCAGCATGTAGATTGCTAAGATTAATTTATTTTTCCCTTGTAAAATATAAATAGTAAATTTCGTCTCAATTTTAAAGATTAGTAGCTTAACATAATTTTATTGTTAAAATGAAATGTAAAAACGTTATGAAGGAGTCCAGTTATTTGTTCATAAATTTTAATATTGTTAAAGCTAGAGCTCAATACAAGTTAATTAAATAAACTAGACATCCTTAGTCTTCACACTTCAGCCCACTCCACACAATTCTTCGGCTAGTTCAACTTCTGCTCCACTTGAAAATATTAGCTTGTTATAATTATATTATTCAAGAGACTGAAGAGAGAATATATTAATTGCATCATAATCCTTAGTGATGAATGAAGACGGGTACATGGCACATGTCTTTATCGAAATCTTTCGAGTGGCTCCAATCAAAGGATTCAATTTGCATCTTTTTAAGTCAAGGGTGGCTTGGTTTCAAATATCCGTGTAACGCCTATAATCCATGTTTTTTAAAAGCAGTAGTTGTGTTTGGTGGTGGCTTGGAACGTTGCATTTGCATACTTGCATGTTGTTTAGGAACGCGACCAGGTCAAGCTTTGACAGTCAACATGGTACTTTTGGAACGGTATTTTAGACTTTTATTTGCCTCCTCTCCCTGACGCGGAAATTTGACTAGCTTTACGAGGGAGAGAAAATTGGTACGAAAACATTAGTTTGATATTCATGAGAAAATGATGATATCAGCTATCTTTCTTATAGCCGTATTTACAATAGTAATATATTTTATAAAAAAACAATTTTCAATTTGGAGATTGGACTTTTGATTGATCCCTTGCCGTTGAGTCGTTTACCCTTTTATGTGTATTACTTAATGCCGTTTACCTAACTGCATGGAAGTAAGTTTATTGTGTTTTATTAGTAGACAATAAAACCAAGACTATATTTGTGCTTAAAATCCTTGTCACAGATCGGCAAGCCCGTAAACCATACCGTGATTTCTGAAAGAGACAACTCATTATTTGCTTTGATTCAGCGTGGACTTGAACCAAAGTATGAAAATGTTTGAATACATAATAATATGAAATAAAAACACGTGGTCGCGTGTACCTACCTAAATGTTTCCAGCTGTTGGCAGCTAAACAAGAAATTTAACCATAGAAAAGTGATGAACATTAGATGACCTTTAATTCCCTCAAAAGACATTTTGTGTTCTCCGACAATTTTTACGACACTTGAGGCCCTCAAGTTTTTACCAACCCATTTTAAATATATATAATCATTGATCATGGGGGAAAAACTTGATCGGTAAATTTTTTGCAAATTCTCTTGATGATTCCAATACAAGTGCTCAATAGAACAAAAAAAAAAAGTGGCATGAGTACAAAGAATGAATTGAATATTAATAATTGAATAGACAGACACGTTAACAAAATAAAACTGACCCTGGCCAAAATTTCAACAGGGTGGTTGTCCTGTTGGCTCTTGCAGCAACTTGTGACTAAAGATTAGAAGAATGCTAACAGCAAAAGGAAGTGGAAAAAAGAAAAAAGGCAAAATGTGGTATGTACATACCCAGCAGTTTACCTACGGTAATCTTCATGGAGCAAACTCTCATATGGTGTCCCAGTGAGTGCCTTGGTTATATTTTTCCAATTTTCTACTTGACTGGATAAGGATCCTTTATGTATCTTCACCTGGCGACTCTTTAAATTCATTCGAGGAACCTTCAGAAAATCCTGAACGTCCGTTAATATCTGAAAACAAGAAAGACAGATCAATTGTCAAGAGCCCTTTATAGGCATACAAAAAGGAAGATGAAGCAGATATGATACAGCGTGCATGTAGTGCGCCTTACAGTGCGGTTTTTGACAACATCTTCGTAGTATACGATAATGTGCCTGGTGCTCTTGAAATATTCCAAGGCCTTGGTGGTGGTTTCATTCACTTGCCTCAGGTTTGCAATCAGCAATGTTGAATTGATTGTGGGCTTGTATTTTGCAAGTATCTCTGCCTGAAAGCATAGATAGAATCTATTAACATGAAATATTAACTGTCTTTAATATGATAACATATCAACTAACCAGTTTGGCACATCTTTTTTTTTTTTAAGTTAAAAGTTACTTTTAAGCTAAAGTTTGGGAAGAAAAAAAGAAAAAAGAGCGTAAAAAATAAAGGTAAAAGTTGTTTGGTTATTATATAAAGTTGTTCTGATAGTTTTGATTTTGAAGGAGGGAAAATGAGATAATTTGTTATTAGAAGGGGTTATTAAGATAAAGGATAAAATTTACAAATACAAATCTAGAATAAGATAAAACTGTAAAATAAATATGAGAACTCCAAAAAATTGACATACGTCTTAAAAAAAGCTCCTCATGAGAGCTTTTACCTTTTAGCTTTATTCTTTATTATAAAAAATAAACTATTTATAATAAGAACTTTTATAAAATTATGTTTGATTAAACTTCTACTTTTAAGGAGAAAAGAAGCTAAAAATAAGACATGCCAAACAAGCACTAAGCATCTTCCATCACAATGAAGCACTCATGCAAATGTACAACCATGGATATTAACGCACACATGAGCACATATGCATAAACAAAACAGAAAGAGAGAGACCTCCTTAGGTGAATGAACATGAGATTTGTGAGTCCCATTTAATAGCTTTGCATTCCTATCATATTCATTTGCAAGTACAGAAATCATCCGGCGCAAAAGATTCCTTCTGAAAAGAAATATGACTGAAACCCCATGTATTCTGAAGTACTCAGTAATTTGTTCATGATGTTGCATCAATCCCTGCATTAAATTACAAATATTATATGATATCCTTAGATCCCTTATAACCTTAAAACAATAATGTATAGAACAGATGTCAATAATATGTCAGATGTTGAGCAAGTACAAAATAAACAAATGCAACATGTGTAGGCAATACAAAAGCCAGCTGTTAAAAAATTGAGTTCTTATTACTAGGGTTGTTTTTGTTTTCCTAGGCGTTAGCCCTGTTTATAAGGAACCACATGAATTAGGTTTGAAAATTAAAAATTAATTTTGCATCACCAAGTATCCTTGAAAAATTGGGCAACATAAATATAATAGTTCAGTATTTAAAAAGATTGAGAAATATTATCAATCAAGATTGATATAAGAAAATAGCATTCACAACTGTATTAAGGCAACTGGGTGATACCTAACTTTATCTCTTCGGATATTTGACCTTTATTGAAAATCAACTTGCGGAAAGGAACTTCTACATTCTAAGGTACCTAAGTATTAAAGGGGGCAACTTCCTACATCAGAGACTTGCTTGAACTTCATTCTTAACCAAGTTTATATACTCTTGAGCTCTCTACCAACTTTCAAAGAAACTCCAAAAACCATCTATCTTATGCCAAAGTATTCCACTACAGAAAAGAACCTCAATCTTCAGTGGACCTTCATCGACACATTTTGCATCCAAATTTGTCAACACGCACAAATCATCTTGAAAGCAGCCATAAAACATGGCAAATAAAAAAATGGTAGTCAAAAACTCAGTCAACCTGTGCTGATCCTTTATAATAGCAACAGCTAGACAAGAACAACTACAAAAATGATAAGTTGATAACTGTTCAAATTATAGAGATTCAGGTATGGAAGGAGGAAAAGACACTGAAACCGAATAATATACTCTTGTGCATAATGATGTTGTACAAAAGACAAAGCACTAACCCTTATTTATATTAGTACTAAACACTTAACTCTAATCAAATAAGGAAATAAATCAGGAAATACAATGAAATATGAAAACCACTCACAATAGATCATTTTAGATACTCTAAAGATATTCTAAGATACAATAATGATATTATGAGATATTTTTTAAATACTCTAACAATTGCAACATGAAAGAAAACAAGTGAAGGTGCATGCATGCATCCTGTATTGCATAACTCATAAGTTTCTCTCTCTCTTTCTCTCACTCTGTGTGTGTGCGCGCGTGTGAGAGAGAGAGTTTTGATTCTTCTTCTCCCTCTATATTATCGTTCTGCAATCCTTTAAAAACAGAAAAGTTGGCAAACACATACAATCGTCTCTCACAAGCAACAGTTTATACTTCAAAAAATGTACTACCCTCCCTTTCAATGACATATAAGCCGATAGATACATTGGTAAAAAAATTTGTTTGGAAGATTTTGTTGGGTTCTAGCAGACACAGTAAATAATGAATTGCATTCCAAAGCATCATATTATACTGCCTATACTCCATTTCAGTTTTGGTATTTCAGACATCTTGTCCTGAACTTTTAATTTATTGACAGAATATCTAAAAGAATCTATCTTCCTTTTGAAGGTTGCACCAAAAACACAACTCTAAGTAATCAAACATAAGTTTCCCATACTATGTCTTAATTTTATTCCCAGATGATAACTAACAAAAATACAAAATCAGTAATCACATCAAAAAATTAGATTTCGCCTGGAAAGTTCCTCTGTACCTGATACTCAACAAAAGCAAGAACAAAATTTCCTGCATATCTCAAGATTTTTTTACCACAATTTCGGATTACTCTAAATCAAAGCTTCCAATTCCATATTTCATTAGACTTAATCCAAGTAAATCATTTAAATAATACTGAATGTCATTCTATCCATGCACGCTAGTACTTTTACACAGTACAACTGCTTATTGCACCCTAGTTTAAATAGATCACCCTCATCAAGTCAGCAATCAGGCTAAGAAAAACAAGGGAAAAACATCGACCGAGGTAGGTGACCATAGCCTTAATCAAAATCAGCAAATGCATCTTAAGAACTAATAGTAACTTAATGTGGAGTATATCAGCCCCTCTAACAGAGGAGATAATACATCAACTTTTAACAAACTAGAAAAGAACTGGGACTTGTGAAATAAAAGGGAAGACTGACAAGTAGAGTATTCTAGTAAGTTGAACTCAAAATCAAACATGCTTTTAAATCAATACATGGATATGTCTTTTTTTTCATTTTCATTTCTTTAGCCTTCTAACAGGAGATGATAATTTAGAACTTGTATGAAGTTCAATATGTGGCGAATCCATACATACTATACGTTTCTAATGTCCACAAATACCAGAAGTTTTTTTTGCGATATCCAAAATCATTATAACAAGAAAAGATTTTAATCACTTTTTGTTCCAAAAATATCAAAAGGAGAAAGGGATGCAAAAATGACTAACAGGCAAGACAAATATTTATTAAAATAAAAGAGCATTGATAAATAAAACAAACTTTACCTGATTAAGCATCCACTTCAAGCCAACTGCAGTTGTGCACTCATTTTTTGAAGCACTACTAAACCAATCTAGATTATAAATTGTATCCAGAGTCTCCGTTATTGTTGACATATTACTCCTTCTCACCTTAACCGAAAAGATTTCCCCGTTTGAGCTTATGTTAACATGACTGTTTAAAAATGTCTCAAACCATCCACTCCCAGATCTTTGCATTGACAGAATAGCGAAATAGCGCACAGGGTTGCATGCGCATTCTTCCCTAACAAGGATACAACAAGGAAGCAATATCAGTAAAAGATTGTGCAACTAAATCTCAGATTTAAGTACTACATTATTAATTTCACCTGCTATAAGTTTTGGGATTTGGGTAGTGCACGTAAGGAATCTCCCAAGGTTCAATGTTAGGTTCTGGACATGGCTTTTCAATGACCTTGATATCTAGAAAACCAATCTTACTGCTAGTGCCTATCTGCTTCAGACAAATAGAACATATATACACGCCACAGACCATTGCAAAGGTCAAAACGACAAGCCTCCACACCAACGTGGAATTCCTCAAACCCTTTACAAGGAAAGCATCCTGTAACCATGAACTACAAGATTAAAATATATACAATAAAGGCCTCAACTTGGTTGATCACTTGATCCAGCACATGAATAGATTAACCCCCACAGAATCTACATCTTCACGAAACTATCCAATCAAAGGCCTAATACCCATTGACCTTCGAAACGCACATATTCGTTGGGATTATTTTAAGGAACCAGATCGGATAATTTCACGTGCCACCCCATTAAAAAACTAAATGAAAAACATAATCTTTTACCTCAAGTTTTGAGAGATTTGAAGGTTAAGACAACATGGCACATTAGGAAAGTGAGAAAAATAAAAAATAAACACTAACCTTGGTGAAGGAAGAGAGATCATCGGCCATTGTTGTCGAGCTCAAAAGGAATTCGAATAAAAAGGCATATTTTGGGTACCCTTTTCAATTCTTTTTTCGTTTTTCCTAAAGCTTTTTTTCAGCTCTCATTACTGCAACCTACAAGAACCCAGTGAAAAAAAAATTTGAAGGAAAAGCAAAAGGCGTTCGGTTCGATGATGATGGGTGTGACTGTGAGCTTCTTCTTCTTCTTTTTCCCTTTTTTTTTTTTTTTTTTTTTGGTCACGTGAAGAAGGAAATGATTTAGAGGCTTCTAATCTTGGACCGTTGCTTTCAGATAAACACGCATAGATTTCTCGTAACCTGCACCTGGCAATGCCATACTCTTTCTTCGTTTCGAATATCGTTAGGAATAGAAAATGTTTGAGTAAGACCAAAGAAAAACGACATAATGAGTGATTGAGTGGGCTTCCACGCTTCTTTAAACGACATGATCGTCACTTTTCCAATCCATAAATCCACCACCTGGTTGCAGTTAACGAGGGCATTTCAGTCATTGAAAATAATATTAAAGCAAGATTTTTATGTCATATAAATATGTAAAAATTTCTTATTTTGGGAATCCAACAATATCATTCCCTTATTATTTTGTGAAATTCTTTTTACATTTTTAATTTACAAAAATCTCTTTTTTTTCAAAACAATTTAAAAATTCTATCAAAATGTGAGTAACTAGAATTCCCAATATCAATTTGTTAAGAGATCTAAAATTACCATTACTAGAAAATAGATCATCTCATAATTAAAAAAAAATATGACATAATTATGTGGAATAATCATAGGTGAATCAATGATTATGATTTAATAACTATCTATTTTAATATTTTCTCTCTCCTTTTTTATCATTATTGCTCCATTTTTATATAATTAATTGTCCACATAATCATATTATGTGTTTTGAAGAGAGAGAAAATGTTAATTTAATAGTGATTAGATAGGTAATAAGTTGGTAGTAGAAAATTTTGATAGTGAGAATATTCCTCTTCAAAAAAATTAGAAGAGAATTAAAATCACAAAATCGACAACTTTATGGATTTCCCACCCACGTGTCACGTGCAATCCTGCAGTCAAATAGTGTTGAAAATTCAACTGCTGGGGTACGAGTTCTGATTTAATAAGTAGCATGTTTTATTTTATTTTTTTGGTAAATAGCATGTTTTAAAGTAAATAAAAGTTGAAAATGAATGGAATGTTTCCTTATTTTAAATCATCACCAATAGTTAATTTTAAATTAAAATTTATAGTAAAACTATAAGTTAACTGTTTATAAAAAATTTAAATTTAAACTTCAATTATATAATTGTCATATGAGCAAAAAGTAAATTAGATTAGCAATCCCATTACCCGATCATTGATGAATTTAAAAAAGCAGCACAAAAATGGATTATTATTCATGTCGATACTTTTCCACCTTTCAATTAGTGAGATAAAAGTCAAGTTTCTTTCTATTCAATCAAACTAGCCATTTACTTTAGCTACTTTTTTATGGGCATTGCTTTATCAGTTTTTAATGATGACCATTGATCATGTTCTGTGTTTCAATTTTATTTTTATTTTTTTGTTCGTTAAGATTTATCACCAACCCCTTTCTTTCCCCAACGAGTTATACATTTGGAATTTTTTTTCCAAAAAAAAAGTTAAATAGATATTGGGGATTTACTTTAAGCTTTTATATTTATGTATAAAAAAATTTAACATTTTATAGGACAAAATATTATATTATTTTAAATAAAATAATCATGTTTGATATATATTTATTATTTTTTTATAGTCATACTATTATATTATTTTTATAATCTTTCTTTTACGATATTCTCTTTTTCTTTAATTTTAATTTTTGGGAGAGAGAAAATATTAAAATATATATATATATATATATATATATATATATATATGCCACGATTGTTTTCTTTTATTTAAAATAGTATAATATTATGCTTTTAAAATAATATTATATATATATATATATTGAAATAATGAGAAATTTGTAAGCAGAAAATGATGCATGATGTACGTAGGATATTCCAGAAGTTGCCGCCCATCATGAAAAACTTAAAACCATTTATAATCATTCGAATGATTATTCTTGATTGTGGTGAAACATGATGGCCCAAACTGAATATAGGAATTATATTAAATTTTAAATTGTAGCATTTATAAAGAACGTATTAAACGATATTTATCAGACGTTAAGTATTTGAACTCGCCCAAAAATATTTGTACAGAGAAAAGGAAGATTAGCCACCACCCAAAGCATTATTTATACTATATTATAATTTAGAGTAAAAGGTTTGTTACATATAAATCATACGATAATTTAAATTCTTTTAAAAGTATAAACTTATCATTTTAAGCACGTCTTAAAAAAAAATATATGTATCATGGGTAAAGTGGAATTTAATCTATGACGCAACCTAATTAATTTAAATGTTAAATTAATAAAATTAATTTGAATTCTAATTTTAAATTTTGAATTTGAATTTAAAAATAATAATAAAATTAGATTTAATGGCAAATTAATTAGATTAACTAGCTCAAATTAATAAAATCAATTAATTAGATTGATTGGCTAAAATTAGGAAAACCAATCAATTCAATTGATTCAATAAAAAAAAATATTACAATTAAGAGCTATTGTGTGAAAAAATTTGCCATGTATAATTCATACAGTGATTTGAATTCTATTGAAAATGTAAATTTTCTATCTTAAGCAAGTTTTTTAAAAAAAAATTAAATTATATGCATCATGGGTCAAGTGGAACTTGATCTGTGATGCAACATAATTAATTTAAATGTTAAATTAACAAAATTAATTTAATCCTAATTTTGAATTTAAAATTTGATTTTAAATTATAATCATGAAACTAGATTTGATGACAACGTAGAAAACTAAGGAAACCAATTAATTAGAATGATTGACTCAGGAAATCAATTAATTAGATCGATTGCCTAAAATTAGAAAAACTAATCAGTTGGATTGATGGGATAAAAAATTGAAATTACCCAAAATAATTGGAAAGTATGTACTTACTTAAGTGTTTGTACCCCTCACTCAGAGTACATAGTATAGTTTGTAAACAAAAAATTTATAAATATAACCAAATATATATATATATATATATATAGAAGGATATACTTACCACCAAAAAAGTTTACCACCATTACAACCAACTTAATCACCGTTGATTTTTGTCAATTTAACGGTTATACTTTATTGGAATTATTGGGTTGTACTTATTAATTAATTATTAATTCTCAATAAATTATAACTGTTAGACTGACGAAAATCAACGATGATTAGATTGGTTGTAAATGTGGTAAGTATATCTTGTCCCTATATGTATATGGGGTTTACATTTCTGCAGTTATTGTACGTGCAGCAATCAAATATTTGTCATATATATACGTGAAAGCATTAAATGCGGAGAATCATGACCATACAAAAGATGAAAACATTAAATGTGGGAAATCATAACCATACACCTGTCGTTGCTGTACGTAAAGCGGCTGCATAAATGATTTTACCTATGTATATATATAGGGTTTACATTTCTGCAGCTGCTGTATGTGCAGCAATCAAATACTTGCCATATATATACTTGAAAGCATTTAATGTGGGGAATCATAACCATACAGAGGATGAAAGCATTAAATATAGGGAATTATAACCATAGACCTGTCGTTATTGTACGTAAAGCGGCTGCAGAAATAATTTTATATATATATACATATGGGGCAATCCTACTTATTATCCTTCCAGGCTCACTGTTCTTATTACCTGATCGTTTATTGTTATATAAATTTAAAACCATCAATTGAAAAAGAAAAAAAAATAACTACCGAAATGATCAAACGATAATCAATCAGTTAGTAAGGGTGTTAAGCCTAAAGTGATGATAAGTATAACTTTAAAATTTGACACTGGTGTTAACTGATCCTATCCCTATATTATATATATATATATATATATATATATATATATATATATATATATATATATATAGTAAGAGTGGTAATCTTATTTATTTCTTTATTATATAAATTTTACCAAAACATCCTTAATTAATTCCCTCAACTCTCAAAATGTCATAGTTTTGAGATGGCAAGAGATAATTTTATCTCGTGTCAGGAGAAACTATAAACTCATATACATATATATATACTAGTTTATTACACATGCGATGTACGGAGAAAAATAGAAGTAGGTTTGTTTGTCTAAAGCTAACGTAAATTTTAAATGAATTTTATAAATAAAATTTTGATACAATTATTAAAGAAATAATTAAAAGATAAAATAAATTACGAATTTGCAGATATAATATACTATAAGAATGTTACATTAGTAACTCCAAAAATTTGCAATAATAAATCTCTTGAAAGAGATTTGAAGGGCATATGTCTATGTTTCTCAATCGCTCCCACTTTGTAGAAGATGAAGAATCAGCCATTAAAAGAAGGTTCACGAAAAAAAAATATCAAAAAGTTTTAGAAAATAATTAGGACTAAGAGACTAACAGGTAGTTTATGAAAAAAATCGTAATACATATAAATTAGAAGAAGTTAGATGAAGTGTAGACACATGAATAATAAAGAATTTAATGACAAACATAGTTTTACAATACATAATATGTCTCTTCGTTTTTTTCAGTTGAAGATGTTTTACCATGAATGTATTTTATTTAATATTTTTTAATCAAACAAAAGAATAAATATTTTCAAATTTCAAGTAATAAGCAAATTATTGTATATTAATTATTGCAAAATATTAATTTTAGAAGACGAATAAGAAAAACAAACACACAAAATTTAGATTATATTAAACATCATATTGTCAAATAATTATTGTTTAACCTCATGTTAAACATTAGATAGTCATCCACAATTGTATTATTAAATGTCAAATAAATATTAAGACATTGTATATTTCCTAACTGTTTAATAGTTCTTAAATATATAATTCAGAAACGCTTGGAACAATGTTGATGCTACACAACTTCTTCCCTATCAACTCTGTCTACACACAACTTCCCTTTCTCCAACAAGGTGTCTTCGACTTCAAACATAGAACCAATTAAAAAAAATTGTTGGAGTCACTATACTGTATTAATGATATAGAATATAAAAATAATATATATAACCTCCAAAAAAAATATATATATATAGTAGAAAATTATATCCACACAAATGATCATATAATTTGAGCCAATCGATCTAATTAATTGATTTCCATAATTCGAGCCAATCAATTTGATTAATTGATTTCCTTGATTTTCTCTATTGTCATCAAATCTAATTTCATGACTATATTTAAA